CATGATATCCATAAATGAACATGAGCTGAATGTGGACTTTTAAAGTCCAAATGCTGGTATTAAAACATTAAAGTTGGTCATCTTGTAGGATCTTTAAAAAGCTAAAAGTTTTGTAATTTCTTTTTTAGATAAAATCTGTAGATTCAAAGAAACACTCTAGTCTGAGCAGCTCTTTATCCTCCTCGTTCTGTGCATCTTCTGTGTCCATCTTCTGTGTTCTTCCTGGTGTAAAATCCATTTCTGGAGGTATCTGTGTCATGAGGAGGTGTCTGTGTCATCGATGCCCACGTGAACAATCTCCCATTTGCTGCTAATATTTGTCATTGTCCCTGCTGACTTGCCTTGTTCTAATGGGTAACATCAGTTCTCCTCTCTTATTCTCTGTTCTCTTGACAAAATAGCTGTTATTTTTAGTCCACTCTGTCTTCGCATATTAAAGCTGTAACATCAGTAGACAATGTGAGTGCATAATCATGCAGCTGCAGTATCAGTAGCTAATAAAAAAGATTGTTTAGCAGACTGTGTGTGCATATTTACTCTATAGATTTTGCCAAATCAATAACCACAATACTTTTCAGAGGTTTTATACTGGGTCATTTTGGATGTCTTGAAAGGGAGTCTGTAATAATTCAAAGTGACATCACCACATGTCAGTTGGGAAAACATTTGTTTTAGCTTGTCTGTGACTTATTATCATGTCTGTAGATAAAAACAAATAAACTTTATTACTGGGATTACCCAAGGGAAAAAAAAATGATTAAGCCAAGCCAAGTCTCCACAAAATTAGATAAAAAGAAAAGACAATTGCTGTAAGAAATAAATCAAAAGCTTTTTAGAGTAGTACAGAGAACCTAATTGATCAAACGGTCATATCAACACTGGTCAGTGTTTGGAACGTTATACTGGGCCATCTGGCTCTTGGCTGGGATGTCAACCGGTTGATTAGAGGATGCAGCAAGTATTGTACCGATTTCACACCTTTGGTATGTTGCTTTGCCTGCTTACTTAGCCAATGAGAAGTGGAGTGTGTCCTCTGCTGGTTGGATGACCACACTAAAAGAAAACAGTTAGGGGGAGATTATAGCAGGGATGAATGCATAAGAGTCTGACATCTACCAGAAGTCTAAAACACGTAGGCCTACCACGACTAGAATATATTCTTACAAAGTAATGTCTTGTTTCACAGTGTTGTTTCAATTGCTTTGTTCAACCACCTTTGGTCATACAGAGTGGCAGGATGTCTTGACCTGTAAATGTGTATTCTGCTCCGTGCCTAGAAACTGTTGACACAACATTTATCGTGACTGTTGCAGCTTGATGAGCTAAAAAATAGAGTTGTATAACAGTATGCAATTATATACTATTCTTGACCATGTTCAATTGGCAAAGCAGCACAACATGTGTTTTAGCTAGTGATGGTCCGTAACTATTGGTTTTTATTTGAATATATGATCATATATGCGTCCATATTACCCACCTATATAGTTTTAGCCCATCGGCTTCTGCACCGTTTTTTCACTGTGTTTTCTGAGTTGGCAGTCCTCCCCATTGATATTTACTGGTACACACTATAGAATAGAATAGAATAGAACAGAGAAAATGAAAGAAGTAAGTAAGTAATCCTCATTGTTAAAGTCGTGCCCGTTGCCCAGTGCTAAACAAACCCTGGGTTACCTTTTTAGCTATAAACATATGAGGGCTTAGACAAGAACCAGTGGTCCATGGTGTGAGCACCATGAAAAGCACTGACAGCTGGGTTTACACGTACTGTAGACAAACGGTAAATCCCGGCTTGCTTCATTACGCCCACTTTGAGCATGGCTGTGGATAAGGATGTATTGATTTTAATGGTCCAACCCTTTTAGATAAACAGTCCCAGAGGATCTGCAGGCTTTTTTATCAGATTTCACTCGCCTTGCAATAAACTAGAGCAGATAACATAGTGTCCTTACAGTGCTCAAGATCACTCTGTCTATCTTCTGGATTCATCTGGCCACACGGCGGAGCGGGACATGCGTGTGTTTATAGACAGATAAAGCTGCAGGTCTTATCTCTGGGCCTCCTGGTCTCCCTCTCTTTGCTCTCTTTACCTCCTCATTTTCATTTTCTTGCCCTCCTTTTCTCCTCCTTGTCCCCTTTTGATTCCTCTCTACTGTAGTAGCTATTTCCTCATCACCTCATGTTGTTCTCTCACTCCATTCCTCCTCTCCTCTCCTCATTACTGCTGGTTATAGCTCATGCAGATCAAACAGGAAATTAAGGCGGCAGTCAGATTGAAAATGTACTCTTTGTTCTATTCAAGGGGGCTGGCATTAGAACGTTTTTATTTGTCAGTAGATTGAGTGTAGTAAGAGTTTGGATTTGAAATGATAAAGCTGAATGATAAATCCTCACTCAAGGATTTTAATACCCACGGTTAGCCTACTCATATCATTCAGCCACTAGCTTTTTAAAAGGAGTCGTGTAATAGAGTGATGAAGGGATGTTGTCACAGAATTACAAAGGATTCAGTCTAATTATATGGCTCTGGCTTGTTGTTTGAGTGTGTGTGAATGTGTGCATGTGTGAGTGTTGAGTGAGAATTGAGCCTCAGCCTGCTGTGAGCTGAGTAACTGGTGGTCGGTGAGGTACGGCTGTGTTACCCATCTGCCCCTGCCTTTACCCACCTGCCTGGCAGCAAAAAATCTCGAACTTATGTTGGTCTTATGTCAACCAGCCTTAAAGGATACATTCACATTTTTGCACTCACATGCCCTTATGTACTTTGCAACATTATTTAGTTGTTGTAATTATTTTTCTCCAGTCTATGCTTGCCCTGCAGAGAGAATTTTAATTAAAGTTAAAATATACGGGTAACAAAACAGCCACAATTCTGTTAATAAGTTAAGTTAATATGATGTCTCAGCAGTCTGTGTTTGGCAAATCAAGTGGGTTTCTTATACGTATGTTTTTTATGTGAATCTCCCTCTTTTAGTTTCCCCTCGGTTCTTTTTAAACGGGAATTTTGTACTAAAAAGTTTGTAACTTTATCAACTCAGACTCCCATATTAGAGGATAATTTTGGTATTTTTAAACCTAGGCCCTATTTTCACACATTTTGCTGTCGAAATGGCTAGTAGGTACTAAAAGCTTTGCAGTGTGTGTAGTAGATGCCTTCAGCTGGCATCCTTGAACCGGCTACGGTGGCTGCAACGTATTCAGTCAAAATTACTTCCAAAAAAATGCTTCTTTTTGTCACTGACAGACTCAGACTGTTATATGAGGTGCCTAACAACATCATGGAAAGGACCCCTACGAGTGACTCACGGTGTAAAAGAAGTCTTCATCAAGGACAGTTCTCGCTCTAAAATCTCATGAGAGGCGAGATGTTGCAGGAAGATGACGTTGGAAATGTGAGTCAGAGTTGGAAAGAGGAGTTTGTTTTGTTGGAGTAACTAAAACTTTATTTGGAGAAATAAAGTCTTGCTAGCAGTTCCTCGTACACAACAAACGCCTCACCCTCGTTTCCACCGGTGTTTCCTGCAACAACTCACCTCTCACAAGATTTTAGAGAGAGAATTGTTCTTGAGCGACGAAATGTAATTTTGATGGGCACAATTGCCCTGAAGGAATACACTGCAGTCACTGCAGCCGGTTTGCAGCTGCCTGCTGAAGCCATCTACTGCACAGATACCAAAACTTTGGAAATGCTGTATGTTTGAATCTAAGGGTGGATGATAAGACAATATATACCTTGAGAAAATACAAATTTGTCACCTGTTTTGGATGCAGCAATGAATCAAGTCAACAAGAAAGACATCTTTATAGCAATTGGATTTTTTTGATTTGTCAAGAATTTACAGACATTCCTATATACCTATTTACCAATTTCTCAGTAGATGTTGCAGAAAATGATTTATATTACAATACATATTGATATCATGTCTTGAGATTTTAATGGACATCTTAAAGCAATCACAATGGTATAAATTTTGTCTGTTTATCTAATCACTGAACCAATAAGGCCCCGCGACCCTGTAGGCAGGATAAGCGGTTGACGATGGATGGATGGGTTTGATAAACCAATAAGCAGCCAACAGAAAGAGGTGTAAGATGACCAGTTTGGACTATAGCGAAAAATAGTCAAGGCAAGACACTGTGAGTTGGAGCACACTCAGAGATTTCACTTTTTAATGTATGTCACCTCTGGGCTGTTTGCCACCTCATAGATGATGTGGCTCAAATGATGAGCTGTTAGAGCTGATCTAAGTGTCAACTTAACACTGACGGGAGTCACGTGAAGCTGTCACATGTATACCCTTAGACATTTGCAGTAGGTGTTTTATTTTAATTAATTTTATACCTTTGTGCATGTATTTATTGCATTACTCATCAAAAGCAGTGAAATCTGTCACCATTAATGAATGCAGCTAACATTTATTTTTGGAAATCTTAGAGAAAATCCCACACATGAATTTCAATGCCAGCTCCATAGTTCATCTCTGAAGGAGAAACACATTTGATGCTAGTTTGATATTTCAGACCCTTATTAAATTGGGGCAGCTGCTAAGGAGGTAGAGAGGGCCGTCCACTAATCAGAAGGTCGGTAGTTCGAAGCCTGGCTCCTCTCTGCATCGTGTCCTTGGGCAATATACTGAACCCCAAATTGCTCCAGATGGCTGTTCTGTCGTTGTTTGAATGTTTTAGTTTCTGTTTCTGATGAGCAGTTGGCTCCTTGTATGGTATCCTCTGCCGTCAGTGTATGAATGTGTGTTAATGGGGTGAATGTGACCTGTAGCGTAAAGCACTTAGAGTGGTCGGAAGACCAGAAAGGCGCCATACAAAGACAATCCATTTACCGTTTACCATCTTTTAGTGATTTAGCCTGACCATGTACTTAGTGCTGCCAAACCAACACCGGTCTATACAGGCATATAATGAAGTGAAAAGATCAGATATAATGAGCCTGTTGATAAATTGCAGACCCTCATTTCTCTCCTGCCCTCTTCTTGCCTCTACAGTGCAGTGTCTGGAAATGACCACTAAGCGGAAGCTGATTGGCCGGCTGGTGCCGTGCCGTTGTTTCCGTGGTGAAGAGGAAGTGATCTCGGTGTTGGACTACTCCCACTGCAGCCTGCAGCAGGTCCCCAAGGAAATCTTCAGCTTCGAGAGAACTCTGGAGGAGCTCTACCTAGATGCCAACCAGATTGAGGAACTACCCAAGGTAACTCTGAACCATATGTAGCATATCTCTGCTGACTTTAACCTCTGACCCCTAAGCCTATTTCCTTCTACATAACCACTTCTTGCCTACCTGATCCTGGACCAATGTCGGTCAGTCAACCCAATGTGTGTGACACTTTCATGACCCCAGTCACTTTGATTAAAATAAATTGTTTGCTCCACTTTGTTCTCGGTGGTAAGTCTCTGTTTCAGTTTTTGACCTATTGGTTGAAAAAACAGCAAATACACATTTTGCCCATAAGCTGTTACATGAAGTTAACTGTAAATGTGACATATATTTTATTGTTTTGTGGTGTTTGACAAAAGTGGGTATTTATTCTATTTGAGTGTGATGCAAACACAAAGACCCCCTCCTAGAATCAACCCCACTAATTACTTGGCTGTAACTGTGACTTACGCACTTAGAAGTCGACACACTTGGTGGCACAAATGCTGTGGGTTTGTTCTCTGTACAGTTACAGATTCAGAAGGACTATTCAGACTCAGCTTGTCAATCTGCATTGTAGTTTTAATCACTGTACTTTGTCAGCTTCAGGTGTACTCAAAACTTGACTGAATGGTAATGTTAGTGTTTACATGTTATTGTCGGCATGCTAAAATCATTAGGCTTGTTCCTCTGTGGATCATGACTGGTCACATCAAAAGTCAGTCAAATCAATAATTTTAGATATTTCAGTCTGTTGTGAAGTTTTTACTTATCAAAAAGATAAGTAAAGATAGCCAAGTTCATTCATTGTACACTTTGAAAATTTGTGATTTTGCGCTATAATTTCCTTGACTTGACAGACTGACTGAGCAACATTACTGTTCCTACATAAAAGAGACCAAGACCTGCAGCATTGTTTTGGTAGAATGTTTACATGCCACATCATCACTCCAGGGATGGAAATTAACACCCGCCACCCCCAAATGCGGGTGGATTTTCCATTTGTCGGCCAAATGTTGGATGGCAAACCGTCACATTGGCGGGTAAATGTATTCAGCGTGATATTGCTATATAATAGCTATTTAACGGTAATTAACAGCAGACTGGTGTTCTTGTTTGTTATGTGTCGCACTTAAATTGGTCCCTGATGTGCCAAGGGATCTAAAATGTAACACACGGATAGGGGGGTTCATTGGTTGTTGTTTATGTTCATTTTATGTTACTTGTGTTTGATTGGCATAGATTTGTAAGGGGCTGGGCTTTAGGGGACAGGAGTCGGGAGGGGAAGTGGATAGTGTTTCGCATTTGCTTATTCATACAGAACAAAAGTTTGCTACATCATCTCGCAACCATGTGTGCTTTCACATAGTGGTCAGGCTTTACCAGAACCAGCAGCGTGTAAAAAGACTATTTTGTGTAATACAACACCAGCATGCCAGCTGTGGCTTTTCATAGAGAGATTGTTCCCTCTCTCTGTCTCGTCTCTGTCACCAACTTTCCCGGCTCAGAGGCAGATAAAAGCAGACGGCTCCGTATCTTTCATATAGTGCAGCGAGCCGGTGTTGTGCCAAATTTGCCTGCCTGCCGAGAACTGCATGCACCTCGCGGGTGATAACGGTCATTTATGCTTAGAAAAGAGGTGGATGCAAATCAGGTAGCAGGTAGCCTACAACATTCTGCCGAATTATGCATCCTCCTCTTTAGGTCCTTTTCAGACACTTTGCTGTGCTCATTGATCAAACGGCGTTATCACCACATATATTTGCTTAATGTCAAGTAATGGTACTTCTACTAAGTGTATTAAAATATTAAAGACTCTAAACGTTCATAAAATATATACTTCGAATCATTTAACACCATGGATGGACCCCACAAAGAATATTATAGTGTTTAAAAGCAGTATTTGGAGGTGCATGCAATTCTCAAAACTCAGCATAACACCGGCAAATTGGCGCAATACCCCCGTGAAATAAGACAGCATGAAAGCTGCTAGTGTTAGGAGCTAATTACTAAAGTTGTACTTGTACAGCTTTTAGCTGGATGGCCACCAGCGTAATGTGGCGACATTAACGTTACCACCAAACCAACAAAATGAAAAAACGAAGCAGACGAAGAGGAGGCTGAAGCAGAACATAAAAGTTGGCGGTCCAGTCTAGGGTCAGATGTTGTAATGGTCCTGCTGCGGAGATCAAGGAGTATGATCCATATGCTGGATAAGAAAATGTTGATCCCACAAAAGCTGTGATGCTGTTATTGGCACCAGGACTCTGTCAGAACCAGGAGGCCAGAAGAGGGTGATTGTAGAAAGTAAGCAGTCTGATGAGAATGTTAAAGTTGAATGACATGATTAAGAGTGAGCAGTGACCAGATTTATGTTGAATGATTAATAAGCATCTTGTAAGTTTAGAAAACAATTTACTGTTAAGTCTTAAGTTCATTTAATAGCATTACTATAATGTTGCTTACCTTATTATCTCAATTAAAAGTACAGACACAAACGTATATGTGACACAAAGGGCAAATTATTATTTTGGGCGGTAAAAATTATGCTTGACCGGTAGATTTTTTTCATCTACCAGACACTTTGGCAGGTGAGCCAAAATTTCCACCCCTGCATCACTCACCAGACAACAGGAGCAAGTGACAGGAAACATGGGGTGAAAGAGAAGGTCAATTCCTGGCCACGTCACAGGCACATGGTGGCACCCCAGGTTATCCGAGACTTAAACCTCCATGTCGGCAGTGATGAGGCAAAATGCCCTTCCAGTATTTCAAGGAGAATTAAAGGTGCTGTTTAGAGGAGGCTGTCTCATTTTATTGATATCCTGTCCTGGTTTAAATGACAGAAATATTGAATTGGATTTCTAAATATAACCTGCATGAATGGAGACAGTCTAATAGGGCTGTGTAAGTGACAGGTCAAACGTGCATTCAGGTGACAAAAAAAATCTGCTCTGCCTTGACAGTGTGTATTTGTGTGTGTGCCAAGATTGTATAAGAGCTATTGAGGCTGCCAGAGTGATTGGCCTTTATGTAAGTGAGTTGGAGAGCTCCTTGAGTGTGTTTGAGTAAGTGATTGTGGCTTTAAGTGTAGTGGTCTGGCCTGACCTATGGGCACAGAGCAGCCCTTTCCATGTTTAGCTCTATCTAGCTCCTAACAGTGAAAATAGGTGTGACGTCTTAGTAGGCCGATAAAATATGTAAAACAAAATACACGTTTATTTTGTGCAGTTTATGATTTAGTTTGGATGATTTCATTATATGTCTACATGGGCTGCCTTTCATTGTGCAAGTTAGGTTACTTGGAAACTCTAAAATGCCTGTAAGAATGAATGTGAGTGACCACATGTTTGTGTAAATTATGAGAGAATTAGAGCGATAAGATAATAGTTGGATGTTTTGTGTGAAGCATGGCACACATTTTTGCGGACAAATCATTTTCAGTGGGTGAAGCTGGGTGACACTTGGCACATTAAGGTGCTAACATGTTACAACCTACAGATAGAGGATGGGTGTTGTGGAAGTTATAGCACACTCTGGAAGTGTTTTGGCACATTTTATTTGATTAGATTCTTTTTTTTTTCAAGTGATATTTTAATTATCAGCTCTTCAGTGACTTCATACTTTATATGAACTTGAAGGTGAGGTTAGGAAAGAATATTTGATCCATTTTGAAAATGTTTTGCCATTTATCCGAATGGATTCGATTGTTCTGGTTGGCAGGAAATACTCAAAAACCTGTAGATGATGTGGATGTAATTGAGGTTACCTGTTCAGAAGGCTCTGAAAGCTGACGCAAATTCTGTCCCTTTCCCAGGTGACACTATTTTATTAACAATCTTAGCGTCTCATACTAGATCTATTATGTAGGACTAGATGTTAATATCCCTTAATTGCACACATGAGTCATGCTGCCTAGACTCTGGTTAGTCAAGCGGGTGTTAGCATCTTTTGGGTTATCAAGTGGCGCCTCCTTGATGTTTCGCTGAAAGGCCCACGACACCTCCAGAGGGTTCAGCAATGATTCCCGTGCGTCCCGGGCTCACCCCCTAGAAACCATCTACTTAAGGACCTCTTTAGAGTCTTTTCTCTTCACTCTTCTTACTGTTGGTATTTACAACAGGAACTCGTGGTATTTATCTGCGTCATAAAGGTGCGGTAACGATTCTGGAGAAATCCAACACCATCACAAATACCATGATATAATGTGAACAACGACACAGCAAGTAATTTAACTAATGTTAGCTAAGGTGTGGGTTAGCAAACTTTCCTTACTTGCTGCTGCAAAGCGAATGTGAGAGGAGGAGATGGTCCCAGAGCCAGCACACCAGCTCCAGACAGCGATACTCACAACTCTCCTGCTGCTAAAACTAACGTCACAACAGCATGTCTTGGTGAACTAGAAAGTAAGCTGAGTGTCCGTAGGCAAGTCATTAAACGTTACCTGACACACAAATCATGGCTGGAACTTCTGGAATAGTGTTGTGTGGCTTGTCCATACAACAGACCTCTCTCTGAGGTATTACCCATTTCTGAGTAAACTTCGCTCTCCTCCATGTTTGTTTACTCTGAATGCAAATCTCTTCCCTGCAATACCAGCTCCTGTGGAAGAACACACAGCGGTGAAGTTAATTTTAAGTTGGATATTAGTTTTAACTTGGATAATCGACAGATGTCTGTCGAATATCTAACTTAAAACTAAATTCACCGCGGTGCAAAGCGTCATCCCCTCATGAAAATATTACCATAAAGTGTGGAATTTGCAACACAAAAAAATAAACAATAGAGCATAATTTTAAACGATAAATGTTTTTCTATCATCAAACGATATATTTATTTCACTTTCACTCTTGTATATACACTGAAGAAATTTATAAACGCAATACTTTTGTTTTTGCCCCTTTCATCATGAGCTGAACTTAAAGATCTAAGACTTTCTCTATGTACACAAAAGGCCTATTTCTCTCAAATATTGTTCACAAATCTGTCAAAATCTTAGTTAGCACTTCTCCTTTGCTGAGATAATCCATCCACCTCACAGGTGTGGCATTTCAAAATGCTGATCAGACACCATGGGTACTGCACAGGTCTGCCTTAGGCTGGCCACAATAAAAGGCCACTCAAAATGTTTATAATTATAATTTTGTTCAGTATATTTTGGCATTTGCTGTATTTTCTGTTTAGGACACATTTCTCTGAATGTTTTTGCTTTCACTCTACTATGTGTTTTATCCCTAAGGGCCACCATATGTAGGAGATTAATTCTGCATTATTCAAAGGAAAAGGCAGCTAAAATGCCACTGCTTTTCCACAACATTAAGTAGTGCATGCCTCCAGCTGACTTTCTCGCTCTCTATCCTTTTGTACTTTTCCCCTAAAGGTCTGTGTGATTTTGCCAACAGACTGTAATATTCCTTTGTTTCCCCTCTGTGTTTCCATAGCAACTCTTCAACTGCCAGGCCTTGAAGAAGCTGAGCATGCCCGATAACGACCTGTCCAACTTGCCCACCACCATCGCCAGTTTGGTTAACCTCAAAGAGCTGGACATCAGTAAAAACGGTAAAAATCCTCTCTATAACGCAGATAACCCAAACCTGAACTTACCGTCTTTCCGAACTGCAATTTCAATTACAATCTGTCCAGATACAGTACAGTACATAGAGTTGAGCGGGTAAAGAAACAAGGGTTTTAGTTTTCCTGCAAGTCTCAAATTGCTGAGGCAGCCCAGAATAAAACCTCCTAATCACAATAATTTCACATCCAAAGTAATTAACCAAAATATGACAAAATGTGACGCTGTCTAAACAGTTGCAAAACTCACTGTAGATAATAATCCCCCTGTCTTAATACAAATTCACTAAACACATGCCACCACATTTCCTCTTCCCTCTCTGTCTCTCTCTCTTACAGGTATCCAGGAGTTTCCAGACAATATAAAATGCTGTAAAGGCCTGTCTGTGGTGGAGGCCAGTGTCAACCCTATCACCAAGTAAGACACTAACACACACCTTGCAGTGACACATATAACTCGTATATAAATTGTACATTCATTGGAAAACCAGGGCGTCTAGTTTGATGGCAGCAAATTTTTTTTTTTTATTCATCTACAACACAGCGGTTTGTTTTACAAGAACATATAGCAGCAGTAACAAAAAAGTTTATCTGAGCATATTGCTGGATAACAGCCTGAGGGAAAACACATCAAATACACATCTCTCTAACACTCATTTATAGTATTGTTTTTATTAAGAACCGTTTTCTATTAGCGGTGGGGGGGGTTGTGTTCCAGATTTCCACTTTGAATGGACCTGGCATCAGTTCACAATGTAATGGATTGTTTGATGAATTTTTCATGTATTTTGCTTTATAAGCAGCCTTTTCTCTGTCAGTGTCAAGAGACTGACACTGTTCTTGTTTTTAGTAGTCCAATCCATGCGTTTCTAGCACCACAGAGGCACTAAATATTTATAATAGTTGGCTACATCTACAGACACTATACTACCATACCATACCATACCATACCATACTACCTCTTGGCTCAGCTATGGCTAGGCAATAGAAGATACACCCTGACCAGCCACTTAAATAGGTACACCTGTTCAATTGCTTGTTAACACAAATAGTTAATCAGTCAATAGCAACAACTCTATGCATTTAGGCATGTAGACGTAGTCAAGACAACTTGCTGAAGTTCAAACCAAGCATCAGAATGGGGAAGAAAGGGGATATAAGTGACTTTGAACGTGGCATGGTTGTTGGTGCCATCCAGACGGCTGGTCTGAGTATTTCAGAAACTGCTAATCTACTGGGATTTTCACGCACAACCATCTCTAGGGTTTACAGAGAATGGTCCGAAAAAGAGAAATTATCCAGTGAGCATCAGTTGTATGGACGAAAATGCCTTGCTGATGACAGAAAGGCAACAGTAACTCAAATAACCACTCATTACAACCAAGGTATGCAGAATACCATCTCTGAACGGACAACACATCAAACTTTGAAGCAGATGGGCTACAGCAGCAGAAGACCACAGTGGGTGTCACTGCTGTCAGCTAAGAACAGGAAACTGAGGCTACAGTTCACACAGGCTCACCAAAATATGATAATGACATGATAATCTATCATGTCACAAAGCTCAAATCATCTCAAACTGGTTTCTTGAACATGACTGTTCTCCAATGGCCTCGCAGTCACCAGATCTCAATTCTATAGAGCACCTTTGGGATGTGGTGAAACGGGAGATTCGCATCATGGTTGTACAGCCAACAAATCTGCAGCAACTGCGTGATGTTATCATGTCAATATGGACCATAACAACTGGACTTAACCACGGAGTAGACTGCAGACAGAAATGCTTATTTTACTTTGTCTGTGTTTGTGTGCATGTGTGTGTGTGGGGGGGGGAGATGACTCATCTGTAGGCTAACAGCAGTCAGCAGGTTCTACATGGTTGTTATGGAAACAATGTCCATGTTTTAATCCATTGAGGCCCTTCAAGGACACACACTTTATTTTTCTCCTCTTTCTTGGTTTCTTCTCTCCCAGACTCCCAGATGGTTTTACGCAGCTCCTGAATCTGACCCAGCTCTTCTTAAACGATGCCTTCTTGGAGTATCTGCCGGCTAACTTCGGCAGGTAAACATGCATATGATTGTTGGTGTGTGGCTGGGTATGGTGTTTTTAAATCTTTAAGACACAACATACTCTAATTTAGCCTATGACTGTATGTACTGCACATAATTAAATATGTTTTAATTATTTAATGAAGCTGAGCATGCCTGATAAGCCTGAAGCTCAGGCCTTTTATGTACTTTTTTATTTGGGGCATCCTTTATATTTGGGGCATGTTGTCATCTCACAAAAATCTATTCCTCTATCCATTTAATCATTCTTCACTCCTCTCCTACACCCATAGCATTTTATTTAGGTAAGGGTCATGGTTGTTTTGCCAGTCTACAAATTCTGTTATTGTGACCAACGGCAGCTGAAATCACAAGTGACAGAAATTTCTAAATTGAAACGTCTCCATGGTGGTGAGCATCTATAATAATGTGGAGTAATTTTTGGTAATTAAACATTGCTGGTCAATTATTATTTATCATTAATCATTATTATCACTGATTAGAAAATAAGTTTGACACTAGTCCTAAAGTTGAAATAGGGATGATTCCCCCTCCCTCATTTTATATTATAAACAAATGTAGAAATTGTTTTGCAGTTGCAGTTGATAGAGAGAATTAATTCAGTAAATTAAGTTTTGGTTAATGTGCCATCTGTTTTTCAGACTCTCCAAACTACGGATCCTGGAGCTGAGAGAGAACCACCTGAAAACAATGCCAAAGTAAGACAAACCGCCATATGTGTGTGTGTGTGTGAGAGATAGCAAAGAAAGGAAGACAAATTTTCCTTCTTTACGCACCACTAGGTGTGAACACACACACACACACACACACAGATGCCCATGATATCACTGAGTGTATGCTTACTGTCTCAGGTGTCCAGATTAAAAATATATTTATCCCTGGCAGGTGTTCTTGAATACTAATGAAGACTGTTATAACAGTAATGTGTTGGTCTTAACAGCTTTAAATATTTCCTATTTAATGTTATGTAGTGGAATTTATCCATGTGTTCATATCCCCACCACAGATGAGGCCATTATGACAACTGTACCTAACAGAGATAACCTTCAAATTTGTTATTAGTGATTTCAGCTACAGTGGATTGTGAAAAGCGCTAATAATAATGGTAATAATACAACTGTAATTACTACTTTTCTCAAGTGCAATTACCAGTGCATAATCTTCCTTTAGACTCAAAGACATTTAGACTCAAAGTAAACCTGTGAGCATGACTAGAAATTTTTTTCAAAGGAATCCCACCTTTGTTTTGCAACTAGCTAACGAATGTGTTCAAAGTGGAAATGAAATGATAGAAAAGGAAAAAGAAGGATGTTTACTGGAGCTACATCCTTCCTTTTCCTCTTCCCCAGGAATCTGTAGCACATATGCTAATATTTTGTACTAGTGTAATGAACAGTGTTACAGCGCATAATATTTGAGCACAGGCATACAGCTACAGAGTAGTTGGGAGCAGACACTAGCGTGCAACAACCCATTGAAAAAATATTGTATATGAATACTTTCTCAAGAATCGGTCTGTGCAGTTAGTAGAGCAGCCATTGCATTTAATACTGTTGGCTTTGATACTTGATTCATACTATAAGAGTAATTTCACACATTTGTGTACAATCCATGCTAAAATCAATGGGTTATGGCAATTTACTTGAATACAAAACTTGTTCTGTTATTCTGTCTAAATTTCTCTAATTATGGACGCTGCATGCATCGCCAATGGGAAATTATTGTTTGTTAGATGCTCGAACAATATGTGCAATGAAATGCATATTCTTAAGGCTTTGCTAAAATGCAATAAATAATATTATAATTTAATATAATAATTAAAATAAGACTGAAGTTAGTAATTTGAAAAATTAAAACGTAAAGAAACTATTAATACATGTCATTTAAGTATTAAAATCTAAAGTGTATATTGGTCTGGTGTGTAGGTGGGCTGTGCAATGTTTCAGTAGATGAAAATATAAAGTGTACATAAGTCACAGTGTAGTAATCAATGTATTGTCAACTCTCAGGTCCATCCACAGACTGACACAGTTGGAGAGGTTGGATCTGGGTAGCAATGAATTCACTGACATGGTGAGACCGATTGCTGTCATGTTTTGCAAGTTAACACAGTGGCTGCATGTTTTGAAATGCAGCAGGTATTTGAACGTATGTGTTGTGATCACAAGCAGTTCAAATATGAATGTCTTAGTTGTCATATGTGCATTTACCAGTTGAACCATATTTATTTGTTAATTAAGACATGAGCGGAAAAAAGTGAAGGGAGAGAAGAAGGAATCCAAACAGAAACACAGATGCTGTGTCCTATTTTCGGGGAGCCACTGCCTTAAAAGTTCACATTTGAAGACGCAGCACAGCATATGGTGAATCCTCTGTAGCAAGTTCAGCCTTAATATCCTTCAGTTGGACCCTGAAATGGGACACAGCAATGTGATGGAGGAAGAGAGGGCTGGATGGAGGCTAACAGGGGTCGGACAGGAAGTTGGCTGTGACAGGAGTAGGTTGGCTGTATGGTCTGCTTCCTGCCAAGAGAGAGAAAGTAGAGATTGCCAGTCTTACCCACTCTGCCAACATTTTTAAAATTTTCTTTATTTATGCCAAAGACTTGGTCTGAAGATGCACTGCATATTATTTTTTGGATCCATTCATGTTCACAGCATTATTCCTAAAACGGTGTCATTTAATGTTAATGCATAATTCAGTTGTTTTAATATAAAAAGCTTTATATTTGTTATATTTTATGTAGTCAGTATATACTGATATGCATTCCTCTGTTTGCATGTTAGCCGGAGGTGTTGGAACAGATCCACAACCTGAAAGAGCTTTGGCTGGATAACAACTCTCTACAGTCTATACCAGGGGTAGGAACACTGACACTTTCTACTCTTACAGTGAACAAAAGCAGCACTGGAAATATCTGTTTGAAGCTTTCTTACAATTGTTACTTTTTCTCCTCACCCTCCCCGCTGCAGTCAATAGGAAAACTTCGTCAGCTACGGTACTTGGACTTAGCTAAGAATCGCATTGAGACGTTGGACACGGATATTTCAGGCTGCGAGGCCTTAGAAGACCTGCTGCTATCCTCCAACATGCTACAGCACCTCCCTGACACTATAGGTACACACAAAGACACTCATAGACTTTTGCAAGTTGATTAAGCTGTAGCAAAGCATTTAAATCCGCACCTATTTAATACCTATGGGGCTGTGCAGTAGACGGCAGTAGAGGACTGTGGCTGTCCTGGGCATATCCCACTTGAGAGTGGTTCTAGCTGTATGAGAAAGCAAAGATAACTGTAGTGTACTGAAGGATAAGATGTGGCTGGTGATGGAGCAGTGCATAAGACACATGCCCATGGTTTGAGAGACCTGGGTTCAATTCCCCACTGTGACCCATCCACCATGCTTCCCTGAGCAAGGGACGCAAGGGAGCAAGGCACTTAACTAGTTGCTCCTAGTTGCTCCAGAGGCATGCAACCTCTGACATATAAAGCAATTGTAAGTCGCTTTGGATAAATAAATATTAAATGGATAAGGCTGGTGTTATTCTGTATTTGTCTAACTGACAACGAATCCCAAGAAAAGATAATAGAAAAACTATGCATTGATCAGCCACACAGCACTGTGTGACTTCTTTGACCTGTGTGTGTGTGTGCATTCAGCTCCGCAGCCATTGATTTCTGAATATGTGAATCTTTAAAAAGAGGTCACATGTTCAAAAATGGCTATGCAATTTACTAACTAAACTTAATACTCGAATAGGAACACATTTAGTATTTGTTTGGGACTATTTGATTAATATGCATTTAACATGGGGAATGTTTATGGCAGCAGGATGGTGGATGTGGGATTGAATAACTATATCATTCATGATAATAAAAGAACAACAGTCACCCAGTACAACTGTGTAGCTCATTGAGTGGTTTTTAATAATGTTTGGACAATGGAGCAGAATAATAAGCTATATTCCACTCTGGCTACACAGACAATACTAGTTGGATTCAATAATTGTTGCTTTTGATGTTTTCACAATAAGAAAAATATAGAATATTGCTATTGTTTGTAAATAGTTTTTGAGTGTATATTTATTTAAAGAGCAACTTAACTTTGCATGTTTATGTTTGAGTGTCAATGTGAATGTGTGTGTTTGTGTTTGCATATATTGTGTAGGAATGTTGAAGAAGCTGACAACATTGAAGGTAGATGACAACCAGCTGACCTCACTGCCTAACACCATAGGGAGGTAATAAACCACTCACACTCTGATGCAGTAAAAGTGAATGGAATAATAAAGCCATGTAGTCTTTTGTTTTACTTTGAATACACCTTCAAAAATATTTTGTCAGTTTAGATTTTCTCAGCAGGTTTATCTTTGGTGGGCTGTTGTTTTCCTTGTTTATTACTGTTAGTTGCTGTGTTGTTATGCTCGCTGATGATTGGGGGGTTCTGTGTGTTGTGTTTGCTGCGTTGCTGTGGCGTTAGTGCGAAGCCAAAGCAAGGGTGAGTAACATTAGCCTACTGGATCCAGGGATGCGTTCAGAGACAGATAGATGTTTGGCTGTGTTACAGATACAAACACATAAGCTCACAAGTGAGTGGTGGGAAACATCTCAAATTCATGCAAATTACATGCAAACATTAACTATAATTCAGTTTCAAGGCATTATGATCTTTGTGCTTTTTCTCTACATTTGTATCCCAAACTTTTTTTAAATATTTGGACTTAAAATTTGAATGAAATCACATTCTTAATTGAATTGAATTGTACTATACCAGCCCTGCTAAAACCTACAGGGTTGAGACGGAAATGATTGCATGTAAAATGATTAGAGTAATCTGATTACAAGAATTCGTGTTATAATCCATCACAGAAATCAGATGAGTTGCTTTTGAAAAAAGATTTTGATTAGATTTTTTGAATTTAGCGGAAACATTTTTGAAAGGAAACTTATTCTAAAATATTGTTTTTGAGTCTTTGTACAAGAACTTCTTTGTTTGAGGTAACAAAAATATTAAATTAAATCAGTTTGAGTTTGAATACATTGATTTTGTTCCTTTTTACTGTTTGAAACAGCTGAGTAGTAACTTGGATCATGTCTCTAACTATAGTGTTTGTCAATCTGTGATGGATTACATTTTTTAAAGACTCTGCAAGTGCTATTTAACATTCATTATCATACACTTGACTTCAGTGTCACTCTTTGCAACATATTTGTATCTTAACGCTCTGAAAACATTTTGTCTTCCTGAACAAATCCCGGGTTTTAGCCTGATAAGTAGTACTGTAGATCCATTGCTTCCCCTCTGATTAAACCAAAACCACCTAAAAAGATCCCTTTCCTACCCCTCTTAGCTTTTAAGTATAATGATGAATATATTTTACTCCTTTCTTCAAGATTCCTGAATACTTACTACTACTACTGAAAACTTATTCTTTTACATTACTGGACAAGTGTATTTAGTGTAAATGTGAACCATAGGTGTGAATGGATAAACTTCATAGAAAGTCTTCTAACCTTTGACTAATGACTATATTATCTATGAAATAGGCCACCATATATATCTACACTACGTAGCTGTATAGACTAAAATGTGGAACAGTTCTTCCACTATCTATATACAGTACGTCAGTTAATAAGTCAGGTATGATGACTGTCTCTGAGTTTACTCTGATGTAAAATTGCTCATTTAGCTGATACTGTCAACCAGTAAGGGACTTAAAATTAGTGTGTAAGCAGGTTTTAAGTTTCTTGCTAACCGTAGCACCTGGTCCCACACAAAAGCATGTGTGCTCCATAAACAAAAGAGATTTGTATCTGTAAATGTGTGTCCTGAAGTGATCTAGTGACGAACCACTGAGCAACTGTGTTTCCTTGCAACACCTGCCACTAGGATTATGGAGCTGGTTGGCAGATGGCAGCCAAATAATCTTTTGTGCTGTTCAAAAGTCACATTTGACACATTCAAATCTAGCTGTATATTTTTGTGGGAGAAGTGGGAGACATTTAAATGTTTAAGTAGAAAAACATCCAATGCTGTGATGAAAATAATAAACTAAGCAGAGTAATCTTGCCTTAAATCTTATAGGATATTAAACTGCTCTCCTCTCTCCTGTCAGACCGTATGGTGGCCCAGATGGTCACGGTCCATTGGGAATAATAATAGCAGACTAATGCAATGTTAACAGTGACAGTACATTAATGTAAGAAGTGTTGTCTCATTAGCATTAGCCTTCTGTTAGCGTTCTGCCAGGCCAATGAAGGCAGTCAAAGGGAGGTGGGGGGTCAGGGTGTGCTGTAGAGGGCCTGCCATGGATGTTACTGTGAATCTTGGTTGAGTGGAGAAGTTGAGATCAAGGTTGAAGAATTTCAGACATCAAAGGGGATACAGTGGGAAAGAGAGGAAGGGTGGTCAGCAAACGAGACCAAATTAATGTAGGGTTTACCTGATTGATTGGTTGGTTAAGTCTTAATTTATTGACAAACTGATTGAATAATTCTTCAATGTGATGATCTTTTCCTTCTCTCCTTCTAAGTTGTCGCTATAAAGACCGGTGTCATTCTGTATTTTTATTATTGTCAACAAATCCAATGAAAGGATCAAAACCAACACTGTGTTAACCCTTCTCTCACTTTGCAACATCCCTACCTGGTCTGTGGCAGTCAGATCCAAGCCCATTTGTTCCTATCAAAGGAAATGTATAAAAATGTTTTTAGCAAATATTGCTCAAACATGAGGAAGTAGTGCTTTGTTTTGGACTATTTTCAACTCTAGTATTTTACAGCAGCAGGCTGGTGTATGTGATTTGACTCACGGGGAACAAGAAAAACTACAGTGTGTTTGTTCATGGCTGCATGAACACATCACCCAGTGCAATGTGTGGCTCACTGATGTGTTTTAATAATTTGTGGACAACTAGGGAGTTCTGTCGCACAGAGGAAGAAGTTGTATCAGGCTTTGGCAACACAGACAATACTTGATAGTAGGATGAATTCATTCTTGGTTTAGCATTTTCACAGGATTTGTTGACAATAGAAAAAAAAAAGAGTAGTGCCACCCTTATCCTTTAAAACCCATGTCGAAGTAACCCATGGTTGCAGCAGAGATGTTGCAGCCTCCAGAATGATTTCCTTTCTTTCTCTGCATCTCTTCCTTTCTGCCTCTGTTCCTTTCACCCAGTCTGTCTCTATTGGAGGAGTTGGACTGTAGTTGTAATGAGTTGGAGTCGTTGCCTCCCACTATCGGCTACCTGCACAGCCTGAGGACCTTCGCTGCTGACGAGAACTTCCTCACAGAGCTGCCCCGGGAGGTAGGAACATGAACGACTAATGAACACTTGCATATCCTCCAGCAGGGCCTCAGTATTATATTGAACTGAAACGATTAGTTGATCGATTGACTAATTGTGTAATTCTTTAAGAAAAAAAGCTGTAAATTTACTGCTTCCAACTTCTTAATTGTGAACATTTGCTGGTTTTCTTTGCTTTCTATAACAGTAATAGAATATCTTCAGATTTTCTACTGATGGTCAGACAAAATAAGCAATTAAAGGTGCCACCTTGAGCTTTGTGAAATTGCGATTGCCATTTTTCCAGATTTTATGACATTTTATAGATTAAACCATTAATCAAGAAAATGGGTTTTTGCAGCCCCACACTTATGTAGCATGTTTAAAGGTGTCCCTCATTTAGCAGATCTTTTTCTGTACTAGACTTATTTGTAATATGATGTGATGGTTTATGTGTGTTTCAGATCGGTAACTGTAAGAACGTGACGGTAATGTCACTGCGGTCCAACAAACTGGAGTTTCTTCCTGATGAGATTGGACAGATGACCAAACTAAGAGTCCTCAACCTTAGTGACAACAGGTAACCCCCCCCCCCACACACACACACACACAGACAGACAGATGACCAAACTATGACTCAGTAGTGACAATAGATGGACACACACACACTTAGATATGCATGATGAATGATATGAATAATTTCTCAATGGCCGTTTTGGTTCTATAGTTGCTCTCACGGCCTACAACTGCAGCTACAATGGGAATGGGTGTTGCCATGGTTATGTGCTCTGCAGGCTGTACAGTGTGTGGGCAAAAGAAACATCTCTCTTTTCTTTCTCACCCCTCTCTCCCTCCTGTCTCTCTCTCTCAGGTTAAAGAATCTACCGTTTACCTTTACTAAGCTGAAGGACCTGGCAGCTCTCTGGCTTTCTGACAATCAGGTATCTCTCTCCTCCCACACTCTGTTCCCGAGACTGTACCTGCAAATGAGTATGCAGCACAAACAACTGCAAAGTACAGCTACTGCATTTGCATATTAATCAGATAACCAGGCCTTTACTGGCTATTCATAAATAGAGGTTTTAATTTCTAAATTCTCCTTTTTAGTTATAGTTAGTTATTTATTATAAGAAGCCTCCATGTTTTGTAATCTGCCTCCATTTTTTGTGTTAAGTGACTGCTGCTTGTTGTTAATGCAAACTCAATACTTCCTCCCTCTTTAGAGTAAGTGAAATTTTTTTATTTTTTATTGTGAAACATACAGGAAATGTTGAGTTTTACTTACACCAGCTTATTATCTAAAAGGGAAGGTAACTTCAATACATGAAACAACAATATTTCTGAGTGTTAAGTATGACATGACCCTGTTGTTGTACTGATGGAAATAATGTTGTGCATACAATACATTATGCTGAATTTACTATACCTGCCATTATTGTACTGGAGATTTTGTTGTCCTACTTTTTTCCCTCTGTCTTTATTTGGGGTTGGACATTATTTGTTCAAAGAGACCACATTTAGCTTTTGGGATACAATAATTACCTGATTATATGCTTTTATTTTGGAATTCACTGCATATGAATCTTCTCAATAACAATGCTTAGGTGCCATAACGAAATCAACATTTTGTAATGAGAATGCAGGGAGTCTTACTCTGGCTCTTACTCTGGCTCTCTACTGGCTTAAACTGCTGTATGATACAATGGTGTAAATTAAGTATTTGGAGTTATTGCTCTGTCCATGATCATGTAGTAGTTTCTTGTTATTTTTCACAATACAAATATTCTTCATGATATTTCAAATTTAATCAAACAAATATAAATCTAAGTCATAATAACACTGACACCTTGCTTACTGCTAAAGAAGAAAGCAAATTTAAAATTCAAATGCAATTTGTAAAATGGCATGTCAGTCTTCCATTTACATTTCAAATTGGCACTTATGTATTCATATAACAACATTTAAACCGGAATTATATAATGTTATTTGCACTTTTCATGCATTACACTTGGCTTGAAAATTCAAATGCCAACAAAAATTACGTTACATTTTCATACATTTACAGAAGGATTTATGAGTGGCTTTGTTTCATTTATGCACCAAAGCAGAACATTTTATTGCATTATTACATTTTAACTTTCTTTGTGACAACATTTATAATTCCTCCACATTATACTTTTTAATAGATATTAATCAGTGTTTTTCATGAGATTAACATGTAAATGAGATGACATGTGACAATAACTCACTGTTCAGATAGCTAAATTAAATTTGTATTACAAATGTAGAGTGGTTAACACGTCTGAACGTCACAAATGAAATTCAGTTTTGTTGTTGGTTTAATTTGCAAAGTGCTTTACATGAACACTTTGGAAGCAGGATTGTCTAAATGAACTAAGTTTTCTTTACCCAATCAGATATTCTAAAAGCTAATCAGTGAGCAGCAAAGCTTTTTGTTTTTCAAAATTAGAGGTAGGATTCGGTTTACATTAGGAATTAGTGAATATATGTGATCAGTGAATGTCCCCACAAGAATACTAATATAAATGTGTGTGTGTGTCTGTGTTTGCAGTCCAAGGCTCTGATCCCACTGCAGACAGAAGCCCACCCTGAAACCAAACAGAAGGTTTTGACCAACTACATGTTTCCTCAGCAACCGCGACATGATGAGGGTACAAACTGTGTGTGTGTGTGTGTGTGTGTGTGTCTCATAATGTCACTGTAGACATGTTTTAAGTTCATTGAATGTTTTGTTTTTGTTGTTTTACAGTTAGTAATATTATAATATTACCAATTGTTACATTATATATGTGTGTAAATGCTTTTGCACAGATTACCAGTCGGACAGTGACAGTTTTAATCCTACTCTGTGGGAGGAGCAGAGACAGCAGAGGATGACTGTGGCCTTTGACTTTGAGGACAAGAAAGAAGAGGAAGACAACTCTGGGAAGGTCAAGGTTAGCTCTTTCTCTCTGTTGTGTCTGTCTTTCTCTTGTTAGAGTAGCTGAGCGAGTGGAGGTCATATGAGGCAGCCAGGATTTCTATTCAAGTTTTGCAAAGACAGTGTTAACTTACTAGCCACTGGAGCACCTCCTACTCTTGAATTAGCATGAAATTCTCCATTTTGAATCATCAGTACAAACAAATGTACAAATGTGAGCAAATATAGTGAAAGAAAATCTGTCTCACTGAGAAAAAGTCAAAGGTACAAGACTGTGTAGTCCAAGGGCGAGTCCAAAGGAGCATTGCTTTATTGAACTACATATATATTGAATCAGTTCATATTCTGCACCTTTCTCCATGATAGAAATACAGAAGTGTTCTGAATATGATTCAGCTCAGATTTCAACTGCTAAGGCTCATGCATCCTGTAGTACGTATTTTAGTATTTAATATTCATAATCCACTTAATATCTGGTCTTAACCCTATAGACTTGTTAAATGATCTGGGAGCTTTTCATATTTTTTGTTGCATAACCTTGAATTTTTTCGAAACTTTTTTTTTAAAGCCTGCAGTTCTCCCTAAATTGCTAAAATGGTTCTGATTTCTGTGGTTTATTGTCTGAATTAATATTGAACAGCCAGGACAACAAGGCTAATCATAATATTGAATTTAACAGTTATTGATAAGAAACTAGGAAGAGACAAGAACAACTAAAAAATCAACAAGAAATGACTGAAAGAAACATTTCAGTTTATGATGTCTCATGCTTACTGAATGCTTGCTCAGTGCATGCCCTTTATTTACATGTTTACACTCAACCATTTCCATTTTTTGTATGTAGGTGGAGATAAACCTAAAGCGCTACCCAACACCCTACCCTGAGGACCTTAAGAACATGGTCAAGTCAGTTCAAAGCCTTGTGGGTAAAAGCGTACATGCGGGACACGGGCACCAACACCAACACCAACACCAACACCAGCACCAGCACCAGCACCAGCTGAGCACAGGCACTGCCACCTCGGCAGGAACCAACATGGAACACACACACCTCAGCAAAGAACAATACGAACCACCGTGGCCCCTGCCTCCCAAAGAGGTAAGAAACACACATTCCCAGCCACACACATGCACACTCTCACGCCCCAAATGTATTCAAACTCACCGTGCAAACAAAGTGCTCAATTTGTAATTTAAGAGGTCCTGGGAACACTGATTGATGATCAAAGATCAAGTGGTGGACATCAAATACGTGAAGTGCATGCACATTCATAAGTATTAGCCGTAGGGAGTTGTCACCAAATGCGACAGTCTCTATAGGGTAGAGATCGGTGATCATAATGCATGTGTGTGTTTGCCAGGTCACAGACAGAGAGATGCAGGACTTCTCTCAGACTCAGCTAATGGATCAGGGATCAATGCATAACTCTGGCATCGACATTCCCAAGAGGAAGGACAAAGAGGACCTGACAGAGAGCTCTGAGGTTGCCACACACACATATACAGTATATTCAAATTGAATGGTGGCCCCATGAATTTAATGTTGTATCTTGTTGTAAGGCCCAATTTAATTTACCTTGTGCAGTCATATTCATGTTTCGCAGGAATATATAATGCAATCCCTGTTTGCACATGAACATGCACATGCATGTGTACTCTCATGCTCGTGCACGAGGCAAACAAAACCGGAATCCACCCATGCATAAACGTTTGTGCTACTAGAATTAGAAAATGGTTAAATGTACCAGCAACTGCTAAATACTTGCCAAATTATTTATTTATTCAACATAGCTACTGCTCACTATCCATAACTTGGTGGTCAGTAACCTATTATCTCGCAAGGTTTGCAAGGTTCGCAAGATCCTAACTAAGCTGTCTTACTGTACTATAGCTACCTGATGTAAACCTGTGTGTTTTGTCTTTCCGCAGGACTCGATGGGCGGCTCTCCCAACGACATCCGTATATCTGACATGAGGCCCACCCTGGTGGAGCCACCTATGTACAAGCCAAAGGTTGTGCTGCTGGGGAAGGACAAGAAAGGTACTGTACAATACAGTACATGTACAACGACGTAGAGACAAACAAAAACAAACACTTACTGTACATGTAGACACATGAGTGCACACGTACAGTTCACTCAGTAATTTAATGTGGTCTATTGTAAAGCGCTTTGCGGCATGTTGTAATAGTGTCCTCTAATTAGTCATGGTAGTAAGCGGATTAATTTCAGCACATAACAGAGGGAAGCAGGGAATACCATAAACCTCTCCAGCGAATCTAGATTCCAATCTAATGTGTTCAACTTTTAGCGCTATTTTGCCCCAAAGGCCTCAGTTTCACCAGAGCCAAGACTTTTTACTAATGAGCCCAAAGCCAATTTTACTGCCTTATCAAGAATCCTTTTTTTTTCTAAATAATTTAGGGCCCTAATCCTGTCTACTGAACGAAACAGTTTATTATCTCCTCTCTGTGATGAACTGTCTAATTCAGAGCTTCATCGTGTAATCTACTCCTTTGTCAGGGAACTCAGTGTGAAATTATTAAATCTCAAACTGCTTGTCTGTCTTGGTGAGTGTACATTCTCAAGGAAGGATCTTGTGCAGAAATTAGTAAAAAGCTTCTTTTGGTTTATTTTGTCAAAATTTTAATAGGTTTGACTCATGAGCCTGCTGGTTTGATAATATTTGTATCTAAACAATGAATTTAAAATGTCCCTTAATTTTTACATTTCTGTAATGGTTGAGTTTGTTTTGACGCTGCTTTCTTTCCAGGGCCCCCTTCCAAAATAGTTTCTTGATTTCAATGGGTCTAGTATGGTTAAATAAAGGTTTTTCAAAACTGTTAAGCCCATCCTTTATAACCAGGCCATGTCTTGCGTCAGTGCAGTGGACTCAATATTGTCCAAACATATAATGAGAGCACTATAGGAATGTGGGTTAAGAGACAGATGTCAGAATCAGCTGTTCACGGAGACTACTGCCACCAAAGCACGTGTTAAGTCACCAGAACAAGTTCTTAAATCATTACAAGCACAAGCAATGTCTCTTGGGATTGCGATGAAGAAGATCTGAAAGAAATCTACGGGGGATAAAATATGGACTGGTTTATTTTCAGACATGACAAAGACACTTTAGCACTCATAAAAGAGCTTTATCAGAGAGAAGAGGATGTGACATTTTCTCTGAACAGAGCTGTCTGTGTTTCTACTGTCTATCTGTGTCTGTCTCTGTCCAGAGTCTACAGATGAGGAGGTGGATAAGCTTCACTGTCTGAACCACAGCGGCTCCTCAGCCACCTACTCCGACTACTCCCCCTCGCAGGGCTCCTCCGGTTCCTCCAACCCACCCGCCAACGCACACTCGCACACACACACTCACACACACCAACACACTCAAGCCCTGCCGGCTCCCAGCAAGGACCAGGCCCCTCAGACACACTGGACCAACAGGTATACATAAACACACACACACATACACCTGCTTAATGTTCAATTTCATCACCATCCTTCCCTCTCACTATCCATCATCTCTTCTCCTCTTTCAATTCCAACCCGCCTTCAATCTCCTCCATATATCATTCATCTCATCCATCCATCCAATCGCTCCATCCGTCCTCTCCTCCCTCCATCTTTCTGTGTCTTTCCCATCTCTCTGCTCGCTCAGTCAAGGTCAAAGAGACTCATTAGGATGCTTCAGACTTCTGTTCAGGATTCTCTCTCTTTCCCTCTCTCAGCTCTCTTCTCCTCTGCTCCAAACCTGTCCAATCTAGGCAACTAATAAAAAGAAGCAAATTAAGAGGCTTGGTCCTTCTACTGAAATTGCGGTGCACTTACAATGAAGTTTGACAGATTTGGAAGGAAAAACAGCATTGAAAACTAATATAAAAAAACAGTTTTCAGTCCTTGTCAGAAATGTTACAGGTATAAAGAACAACAAATGTCTCAATTTAAACTGCCTGCCATATATATTTTCTACATATTTTCAGTATAGCCTCAACAATACTGAAGATTGGAGCCTGATGGCGGTAATGATATTTGAGACACAAATTTTTTAACATCAACACATTAAATACATTTTGGTAAGAATCCCTTGGTAAGAATTTTTTGTTTGTTTGTTTTTCATTGTGAAAACAATCAATATGCACTAAGTGGGACATTTTACAATTGAACAATTATCTTGTCTGGACTTGGCAAAACTACCTCAAACATATCTTCAGCATTTTCTTGTTACTTACACATACAACAGTAAATCTGCTATCAAGCTCTAACTTTCGGTGTCGGTGGAAGGCTGTTGTATCAATATTTATTCAAAGTAGAAATGCTTGGTGGGATACTGGCAGGTTTTTGACATTTTAATACACCACGGGGTCTGAACAGACAAGTTGTGCATCTTTTAAATAACAGTAACCTTTTCCATTGCTCTATCAATGGAATAGTACATCTGTAAAAAGTTAAAAACTTATTTCTTTTTCCTGACTCTTCCCGTCCCTCTCCTCATTCTAAGGAGCCCCTGCAGGTTGAAAGCCTGCTTTGGTATTTTTTGACATTAAAGTTGTCATTTCACATGTCCTGGGGTGATGTAGAGATCACGCTCTGTTTACTTGTCCCTTTGTCTGTGAACTTGTGAAACTTGTGATATTTGCAAACTGTGGCAGTGAGGGAGGTTGAAGGCATTAGTAGTTTCTGTTCAAGTCTGCTCTTGGAAACATTAATTACAACAAACATGGTTGTTGGCCAAATTGATCTGAGACATCAGAGGGAGAGAAAGTTATGCTGTTCCCAGTGCACATTGGCTCTGATTAAATTTACAGCACAAAATTAGCCTCAGTATAGCTCAGGTCAATTTATTATTTCCCACAGCATAATTAGTGTTTGATATTTTGTATCTTTGTAGACTGGCTCAGTCGTTTCCCAAGCCCATTGACTCAAAGCCCCTGCTATCTCAGAGAGAAACCCCTCCATCAGGAACCCTGCAGCAGCGTGGGGATCGGCGTCCACTGAGTGAACCTTTTGATTGGTCTGAGGCCCCTCACTATGACAACACAGGTTTTGATGCTGAGGAGTCTCCTCTGGACAATCAATCCTCTACTACGAGTCAGGGAAACCCACCACTGGGCTCCAAACCCCGCAGCCAGTCAACACACGGGCGCCGCCCTCTCCTCAGGCAAGAACGTATCGTAGGAGTTCCTCTGGAGCTGGACACTCAGACGCTCCCCTTCCACGGCAACCAACGCTCAACTCCAGACAATGACCCACAATCCTCTGGCCATCCTTCCCAAAATCCTTGGCAGAACTGGACTAGAACCCCCAGCCCGCTGGAGGACCGAACCGCTTTTCCTTCCAAACTGGACCTGACGCCCACTTCCAGCCCCAACCCTGATCGCAAGGACATGGATTCAAGGTAGCTGAGTGCAGCTCGAACAGTCCCGCAGTTAGATCTGAAATGTTATGTGTTTATGTAGAAGGCTACAAGACCCCAGGGGTTTGAAGGATTTCATTTCAGCCAACCATCACAGCAGCATTTGTATCCTTTTCTCTGGTTGGAGGTGCAGTATTTTGATCAGCTTATCCATCATATTCCTGGGTTAATATAATTGAGAACCAGTGCTTTGTGATAATTTTGTGCTGTGTTGTGACCTTTCCAGTTGTGACTAATTTTACTCTCTGCTGATGCAATCAGCTGGTTAATCTAAGATGCGATCACCACAAACATTTGCTGGATCCAGCTTTTCATTAGCTTCTGATTTCCTCCTCTATATAATTTACATTTCTGCAATGTTATATGCTGCATTTTCACCATTTTTATGATCTAGATAATTCTAGATAATTGATTTAGTGTGTATATATATGATAGTTGTTAGCTGCAACCCCACTTGCAAATGTCAATCTGTGAGGAGTATTATGCTGTATTATAAACCAACTGATGATGGCTATAGATAACCTACAATCACATTAGATCTTATTATGAAACTGCTGGACCCCTTCTTCATTTCTGATAATTATTAACACTAACCTGGTTTCAGACCTCTAAATAGCCATCCACATTTGTCAGCTGTTCAAAAAGGATAAATAATCAATAATGGAGTAGAAATTAAATTACAACTCAGTCTAATAATAATAACAATGACACTATTTACCTGGCTTTGTTTTCTGCTTATAATATTAACTCTGACACTGCTCTAGTCCAGCAGATTTTTGGGCTCATATTAGTATAGCACTTCCTGACCATCCCTTGTTTTTTGCTCCTAGACTGGAACAAGGCACAGGACCTTTGCCCGGCAGCTGGACATACCACAACAATCAGGGGGAACAGAACAGGAAGGATCAACTGAATGTCATTGGGGGCAACAAGGTAACCGTGGTAATGAGTAAAAGCTCAGACCGCTTGTCCCCCATGATGAGGGAGACGAGATCCAAGTTTAAGAAGTCACAGAGCATCGATGAGATTGACATCGGCTCATACAAGGTCTACAGGTGCGTTTAGTTTTGTTATTTTTTCTCCACAATTGGACTATCAACATGTTATGTAAGAATGTGTACAGAAGTGAATGCAAAGCTGTAGCTAATTCCTCTTGCTGTTCACTTGACAGTATTCCCGTGGACAGCTACAGTTCATCCATTGAGCAGCAGACTAGTCTGGACCGTCAAGATTTGCCTGGTTCTATGGAGCAGACCAGCATGGCACGGTCACAGTCTGCCCCCATGTTAGACGATGAGTTGGGCTACCCGGGACACGGAGCCAGCAACCAGAACCAGTCGGGACAGAACCAAAAACCTGCCATCCCACACAAGGCCTACCATTTTGACCACAACTACAACCCCCAGGTTGGCAGCTCATGTAATTCTTTAGCCTGCAATAACATATTTATTTGGTCACTTGAGAGCCGCGGAGTTGTGAACTCAATAACACAAAATTACTTTTTAAGTTGGTATGCCAAACTTGCTGGCAAACATTTATTTATCACACATCCAGCGTTTATAGAACAACATTGTTTTATTGTTTCTGGACACCTGACACCTCTTATAGCTCTGTTTATGGTCTCTACCAACTGATAAAGAAAATATCTGGCTTTTTTGGTAAGAATTGCTCCATTATGTTTACCAGCTAGTTGCTAACTGTGTCTGTCTGTCATTTGGTGCTGAGCCGGAAGTGTACAGTGGATTTTTAGAGCTTTTCCAGAGATAAGAGCACTGTGACAGTGAACAAAAACAGTAAAGTTGTGGGACGAACAGCTTAACAATGAGCTGAAACTTGCTGTAAAGCTCAATAAAGCATTCTCATTTGTCAGCTGATATGAGTTACTTAACCTTAAAAACAAAAATGAACTGCAAGACATCGTCAGAGTGTGTGAGAAAATCACAGGCACAGCTTTGAACGACCTTCTGCATTTAGATAAGGTTAGGGGAGAAGGCCCAGTCAGTCCTGGCTGATCCTAGCCACCCTCAGTCTCAGGAGTTCTCAGGAGTTCTTTTGCTGGCCATCGACACAGTACGCCTGCATGCAGGACAAAGAGATTTAAAACTTAATTTGTCCCAGCTGCCATTGGTATTTTAAATAATTCAATGTGATTCTATTTTATTGTCGGTTATTTTATCATTTTATTCATATTTATTTACTGCATATGTATAAATTGCCTGCTGGATGGCTGTGTGTTGACTGCTGACTGTACATCAACTTGCCCCACTGGGATAATAAAGATATCCTTGATTTTTGTACCTTAAAGCAGAGGGGAGCAGCAGATTCAGGTTATAATTCTCAGTAGGTTCATCACCATGAGCGCCTCTCGCGCATTGTCACACTGTTTTCACATTGTTATTATTAGAATAACAGATTATAGCTACTTTATAGGTATCCTGTGGAGTAGTATGTAGCTGCAGTACCGGAGGCTGCAGTTTCAGGACCGCAATCCTTGGGCCGGAACTACATTTGTAGGACCCTTGTTTACTTTGATACTGCCAGCTAGCTAGCTATGTTACTCTTGACAGCCCCCCGAAGCCAGTTACCCTTACCCTAACCATCACAGGGCGTGTCAAGTTATTGATTATATGCATGTCGACCGGTTAACCCTACAGCTGCGCACATCGGCTTCCTTCGTTAACCTCCTTTGTGTTGCTGTGCATTACCACCACCACTCAACTAGATGGTGCTGTCGCAAAAGAACTACAGTCCTAGAACTGCGGTCCCAGGATTGCGGGGGTCCTGAAACTGCAGCCTCCGGTACTGCAGCTATGTAATATTGACTCTTTGGTGTCTTTGATTGGTGTCTTTGACCACCAGTTGCGCTATGAAGCAGCGCTGTATTGTGCACACACCATAGACTGTATATAAAAAGGCACACAAGAAATCAGTCACTACTTTCATGTCTTCTTCAATACAACATCATATTTAGTAAATTATGGCCCCATTTAGAGGAAAATAGAACATAAAGCAGAGTTTGCTTCAGGGTGGGATTATCTATGAATGTCAAGTCGTTACCACGGCGACCTGTCAATCAGGTTAGAGTGACTCTTACCCACAGCAAATTTAACCAGCGCCATTGAAAAAAAACTCATTAGGAGTTGGCTGTTCACTTTCTCTGGTGAGTACATTGAGTTTTAAGACTGTTGTTCGCTAGACACAATTGTGAGCCCTGTTAAAATGACGTGAATTACTGATGCACCTAGCTAAGCAAGCTAGCTAGCTCCACACATGGCTGTTAGCTCCACCGTCTCATCCAAATATGGTCACGTCTGGTGCCGCTGGTTGCAAAAAATCAACATGACGGCGCCCTATCGGCCAAACTCGAGGCTTCAAAACGGCAGTCCACAAAGCAATGGGTGATGTCACGATGACTACGTCCACTTCTTATATATATAGTCTATGGCGCCAACAAAGGCAAGGAAGAAGAATACCTGAAGCTAGTAAACATGGACGTAAACAGTGCAGAATGTCAAATATTTCAAATATTGGCTTTGCAAATGTTATATGAGGAATGATTCAATGCATTCAACACGTTTTATAGGCCTCAAGTATACACACTTAATGTAAACATAACTTATTTTTCTTATACATGAAAACAGGTGTTTATTAAGTGCTTTTTTAATATATTGGGGATGTTAAGACACTCTTTAAATTCATAATTTTGTTTCTCAACATGGTAACGAAACAAAAAAATCTAGACATACAGTTTAGTATGACAACAACAATGCCTGAAAACTTTTCATGGACTTACTGGTAACAATTCTAACCACTCAGGTGACCATGGACCGTCGGGTCCCTCCCCCCTTCCCCAACACACCAGATTATGTCAACCACTCATCGAAGGCCTTGGAGTACATCAATCAACCAGGGAAGACATTACCCAAGGAGTTGGTGAGCCCTAGATATCGTGCATATCCACCACTGGAGATGTTTTCTTTCCCCCAATCGCCAATCAACCAGGATGGACCGCCCAGCCAGCAGCAGCATCCAATCCCAACACAGCGCTCCAGGCCAGGGTTTTTGCGGAGAGCAGATTCATTGGTGAGCTCTACAGAGCTTGCTTTGTTCCGCAGAGTCCATGAAGCCCAGCAGGAGGCGCTGCAGGAAGCTCAGTACAGACAGCAGGTAGGAGATCTGTTGTCTGCAAAATTATGCTCATAAGTTGTGTGTTTTAGTCTTACTGTTAAAAATGAATTTATCAAATGAATAATGATAGAAACATTTGTTAATAAAGCTGTCTGTAAATATCTATCCATCACATCCTCCAATAATAAATCTTTGTTTTAATGTACAGGTCTGTTAAAGTTTTAGGCGCCTTGAATCTAATCACAAGATTTCCAATACCGTGTCTCCACTTTTGTATTTAGATGGCGTAAAATACGGACAATATTACCTGACACTAGTTAATTGTAATGGGCTTCAATTCTTCTTCTTCTTCTTCTTAGTTAAGTTATTTACATTAAACAAAAACATTTGCTTGTTTGTTGGCAGACACTGCTTCAGTAACAGTGAATGTGACTGACTTTCCTGGATTAATAGATCATTTGACTCTGTCAGCCTACTTTGACCAAAAACTTTATTTCACTCATGCAATATTAATCTTCATACAAACCAATGGTAATATTCACCCCTTTTTTTGTCACTGTATTCCCTGTATTCATAGGATTAACATGTGATGTTGCTTTAAGGGTGCTTTTATTAAATTCTATGGTCTGATGAAATTCTCCTCTCCTCAGGCGGACCCCCCTCTTTATGGTCGGGCTCTTGTCTACTCCAGCCCCATGGAGCACTCTGCTCTCACCAATATGGCCGACAGCCAGAGCCAGATGCTGCACAACAAGAGAAATGGTCGCTACGATGACGACTATCCCACCTACCAGGAACAGAAGAAGCCCATGATTGGTTATCCGACCAAGAGCCTGACTCAGCGCCGCCCGCTGTCTGCCAGGAGCTACAGTACTGAGACCTACGGAGCATCTCAGGTAGGCTATCTGTCTCTCTAAGCTGCTAATGTAAACTTGTTTTAACTTGCAGTCCCATGAAATCCACTATTAAAGTGTGAGTCATGTTACAATTCAAAGTACTGCCAATTAGTTTCTCAATCTAATCTATTACTTGTCTTGTCTATAAATGTCAGAAAATGTCACAAACCCAAAGATTTTAAATTCACAATTGCATAAAACAAAAAAAACAACACATTCGAACAGTCAAAACAGGCCAATGTTTGGCATTGTGGCAAATTACAGTGTATCAATTATCAAAATAGTTGCTGGTTAATTTTCTGTCAGTTGACTAATCTATTAATCTACTAATCATGTTATCTCTAAAAACAAAATATAAACTTAAATTTGAAATTTAAGTATTAATTAAATGAAAGATGTACAGCAGGGGTCGGCAAATAATTCTGACATCGGGCCAAATTATTTCAAACCCTTAGATACTCATGTGTATGTTTAGCTCACTGGGCAGAGTGCGGGAGTCCTGTTGGAGGAGTTGTATGATCGATCCCAAAACATGGCAGACTTTTTTTCTCCTTTGTTAAACAAATTGATTAGCCCATAAGGACACTTTTTCACATGCTCGCAATAAAGCATATGCTGCAGTGCGTGTGCGTCCCGGCATTTGATCCGCTTTCATAAACCTATGGACACTAATTTTCATTTCCTTGAGAAAATTCAGGGAAATCCAATCACACGTTTACTGACGGCTTTTACAGAGGAGTGTCAAGTAAGCCAGAGACTCTTTCGAATGTCTTTCAGAACTTTTCAAAGTAAAAACTCTCAATACACTCAACATGAAGCATTGCTGCAAAAAATGTTCTCGCGCTTTGATTTTGGAGGCACAATCACTTAAGAGGAAGTGATTACGTCAGTAACTGTTGCTATCATGACTGAGATCTATTTCAGCAACAGACGATATCAATTTATTTATTTTTCTGCTATCAAAGCAATCTGGCCGAGGCCAGATATTATTGCTGGCGGGCCTATTGCCGACCACTGATGTACATCCTCACATACCAACACTGAGAATGTCTTGGAAAAGTCGATCAGTGGACACACACAGTAGATATAGAAGATTACATATTTGTTAAAAGATTTCCCCGGTCCTTTTAAAGCACATTTTTCATGACCATTGTGTGAAACAGTACTAATCTACATTTTGCACACACTTTGCAAATGTATTCATACAATAAAACTGCTGCAAAAGTCCAAACCAGACACCAAAAAAGACATAACATAAAGAGAGAGAGAGAGAGAAATAGAAAAAATTTAGTTAAAATAGCAGAAAAATAGCAAAAATGTGTTCTTGATTAGACACCTTGCACTTGAGGAAGGTGGCAGCATTGGTCATTTGTTCAAAGGTCCAAAATGTCTAAAAGTGTTTATGTTCACAGGGAAGGCCAAGGTGACTGGTTTGGGGTACAAAGCATATGACTTTGACACTGGAGACTTTGGTTTTGCATCCTCTCTCCTATCTACAGTAAACGCTGGTTTCTTTAAACCATCATCCTTCGTCATCTTTCCCTAACAGATTTAGTTGAAATATAAAAAATACTTGAAACGCTTTGAAGGCACTGACACAGCACCTTCTTTGTCATAAAGGTACGAGGACTCGTTTAGGGTTTATGTATATATCTGAATGGAAGCATTTTTATTCATCCATTTTCCAACAATTACATGGGTCCAGGTCATTGTAGCAGCAGACTATACAGACTAAAGCAGGTGTTTGCTTCTGCCATATCCCAAGGCATTCCCAAGTCCATAAATATTCCCTTCAGTTCTGGGTTTGCCCTAAGTCGGACTTTCCAAAAATAGTCACAGAGAGATGTCCAGGAGCATACTGATCAGATGCAAAAGCATCTCATCTGGCTCCTTTCAGCATAAAGGAGCAGGGCACAGGAAAGACACTGAAAAGCTCCGTAGAGCTGATTCTCTGGGGGTTGGTCACTACTAGCTACCCCTTTCACATACACATAGTCATTTTTGCCATTGTTAATGTAAAAATATTGATTAGTGCAGCTTTAAATAAAATAACTGTATCACCATCAAACCCAGCTTAAATTCGTATCATCTTCAGGCACGTCCAGTGTCAGCTCGTCCCACCATGGCTGCCCTGCTGGAGAAAATGCCCCCTGACTATGCTCTGGCAACCTGCCCTGAGAAACCAACTGATGACACCATCAAAGTAAGACCTGTCGTACCACAGAAACCTGAAGACATCACCTCCAGGATGCCTGCCGATTGGAGGCAACAGCTACTTAGGCACATAGAGGCCAAACGATTGGACAGGGTACGTCAAAACAATGCATAAAAAACTCAAGAGAGAGATACACAACAACTCACACACAAACACACCAACACAGCATCCGGAAGCCCTCCCTGTCTGTATCTGTGTAAGTCTGTGTTGTAAGGTTGACCAGATATGTGTCCGGCTGCATGTGTGTCCCATCCACACTGTCGCTCTGTCAGCCTGACCTACTGCACACTCACTACTGGATATGTGCTGAAGAAATCACATGTCCTGGAATACAGTTCAACCAAACCTGCATTGTGACAAGTAATTTGATTGTGCGTTGTGTCTTCCCAACGCAAGATCAAATCTTTTTTTTAAACGAGTGAAAATCTCACCAAGATCATTTTAGTTGATGGATCTTGTCGCAAGATCTGCTGTTACTTTAAGATACAGCACTTGTTCGCATTCAGTCCTCCAGGATCTCCAGTTCAGATCCACACTACTACGTTTTCGTTTTAAAACACAGACCTTTTGCTACGTTTGCTCCTCCCGTCTTGACTAAAATGGCAAATCCAAAGACCTAAAAGTTTCAGAAAAAAGTTTCAAAACGGTGCTGACCCCTTTTTTGTATTAAAACTCCAACAAGAGACAAAATGGAGGACATTAAAATCGATGATGCAGACACTCACTTTTGGCTTCCTGATTGGGTCTTATCAGTCATGCAAAGCAAAAACACAATGCTACTGACACTGTTTTGGTATTTTTATTAAAATATTTTGTACTGTGCAAAAAATACACACTTGTACTGTGCATGTCGCTGTATTCGCTTTGCAACGACTCCCTGTCTGTTTTCTACTGCCACAGTCGCTTTGTACTCCCGTGTTACTTTCAGTAACAGTTCCACTTAGTTGCAAAAAAAATCTCTGTTGTGGTTCTTTGTCCGTAGCAGTACTTTCTTCTTTCAGTAGACATTCAGCTTCCTGTTTACACCGGCATTTGCATGCCCAGTGTATGTGAATTGCCAGATGCGCGTTATCAGTCATTTTAGTATAAGCAGAGATCAACCCTGATATGCAGCTAAAGCGCTGGTGTGGACTGAGATCGTTTTCGTTTTAAAACTCTGTTTTTAAACAAAAACATAGTAGTGTGGAAGTAGCCTAAGTAGGAAGCCACAGGCAGCAGGCCATTAGCTTTACTTTGCATATAGACTGGAAACATGGAAAAACAGTTCGACTGGCCCTAACATTTTAAAACCTTCCAGCACTTTAAAACTCATAAAGTCACTTATTTAATCTGTACAAAAACCAAAGTGTAAAAACAAATGAGGGCATTTATGTCTTGTAACTTCCTGCTTCCTGCCTCCTCACAAGACTCCAGAAAGTCACTGGCCCAGTGAAGAAATAAATCCAGCAAATAAACCCCGTAAAAGTGCAACTTGTCCTTTTACACTTTTTGAACAGATTAAACAAAAAAGAGCTTAAGAGGTGTTTGGTGGTATATTATTATCTTATTATTTTACCTTTGAACAGAGCCAAGCTTGCTGTTTCCAGTCTATATGTCTCCTGGCACCAGCTTAAAATGTATTGTACAGACACGAGAGTGCTATTTGTCTACACATAGAACTCTCAGCAATAAACAGAATAAACATATTTTCCAAAATGTCAAACAAATTTTTTAATCAGAACTGGTGACTCAACAGACAGGACAATCAGACATAAGAGGGAGGATGTCTGGAGCACACAGTTATGAAAAGAGCTTTTAATAACGTGCAGAATATTAATGGTTCAATCATACGTTATATGATCCTCCTAGCCTGTCACATGGTGCACAATACATCCACCTTGTCAAAACAAAAACAACAAAAGAACATCTGGACATTTGGACAGAGCTGTGGAATTTCTGTCCATTGAAGTTCAACATGTTTATAGTTATTAGTTTTCAGTTTGGGACTGGGCTTATTGTTTGTTTAAATATCCACATACATTACTACAAGACTAATTTGAAAACGTCCATACTAATGTTTGAAGGAATTGATCCACCAGTTGTTGCTTGTATGACAGTATGTTCTTTGTGTGTATTATCAATCACTACCTAACATTTCTCTGTGCTTTCAGCAACTCTGCACTGTTGTTGTTGTTTTATCAGTGTTATTGTTTGTTTGTTTGTGGAGCTCACAGTGTGTTGTCAAAACGCCGCAGCTCGCTGTGTAGGCTCCACCCCCCACCCCACCCCCTTACATTCACCCATGTCATGTGATGTTGTCTTCTCCAATCAGAGTGGTGTCCTAAAGCACAACACGCTCACGCTGGGCATGCTCTGTCAGGGCGGGGGTCACGGCCAGGGGCGCAGCAGCACTTTGAACTTTAACCTTTACAATAACACTAAGCATGAGCCCCCTGCTGGCCGCTGGCTGCCACTACCTCCTCCTCCGTCTGCTAACGCTGTGAGTATCTCTCTGAGAACAATGAACCCCTGGTACTGCTCTTATTACTGCACACATAGGTAATTATAGCGAATATCTGCCACTGCCTCTTCATCCAGCAACCATGAACTATTATTTAACTCTGTGCCATTATTGCTATCATAATTTAGATTTTTCTAACTAACTTCAAACTGTGAGTATCAGTGAACTGGGTATGACACTCCTTCGTTTTGGCGTTCAGATCCCATGAATCTTTCTCAACATGACTGAAAGGCACTAAAAATGTCAAGCGTAGCAGCCAGTGAGCACATTCTGGTGATGGATTGGTATTTCAAGAGTTTGGACCTAACTACAAGATCAGTTTACACATTTCAAGGTTACCAAAATAACAGACATTGAAGCAGGTCAACAAGCAGACATTTGTCTTTGCCATCCTAAAATACTTTACTGTTTTATGTCATTCTACAGGCAGATCTTTGTTTGACACATGTTGGGCATTGAGCTGTTGGGCATTGCAGGTCTACACCACATTAAATAATTTTAGGGCATACCAAGGGGCTGGCTCACTTCTTTTTAACCAAAATCTTTTTTTTATTTATCTACTAATTGCCACTTGATACAAATAAAATATTGTCACAGTTTTGAACTGGGAACACTTTTAAAGGCTCTGAATACATCTCAAGCAATTTCTTAATATGCTTTTAGTTATTTCAAACAAGAGATTTCAGTATGTCTTTTTTTCTCTTTGCTCTTCTTACTGTTTTGAAGTGGACAGGGCCTAGTTAGGAAAGGGGATGTCACTTGCTTCCAACATTTGAATTGTGATTCTTCAGTTGGTGGGTTGTTTGATCACTGTCAATCAAACCACACAGTCCTGATGAAACAGATTAGCTGATTTTTTGAGTGTTAAACCATTAATAAATAATACCCAAAGCCATTTCTTTTTACTTTGATTGTTGCTGATTTAATCATTTATATTTAATGTTGCGGATAATTAGTTAAGATTTAAAGCCAAGTGTTAACGCTCTTGATGTAGAAGGAAAGGGCAATAAGAAAGTAACTGTCAGTTCAGATACAGTATTTATCAGTTTAGTACTTTACTTCATCTAGAAAAGCTATTTACTAAGCGAAGGTTGATACATGAATTAATTACTAAGTTCATTTTCAGTAATGGTGTCTGTGTCTCTCTGTCTCTCTTTCAGACCCCATCTCAGCAGGCTGCCATGCTGGATAATGACCAGGAGGGGGTGTCAGGGAGCAACCAGTGGGCTCCCTACTCACTTGGCAGGAGGGATGTCCCACCTGACAACCTCATGAAAAAGGTTAGAGCTGGTGTCTAATCAGTGAACCTTTTCATGTTAGTTTTACTGTGTGTTATCCACAGACTATCAACACAAATAACCATCTCCAGTATTCATTCCTCTGTTGTGTAATTTTAATGCCATGCCCGTTCTTTGTCCACAGAGTGCCCACTCCCATAACCCTTCGCATCAATCACACAACACACACATGATCGCCACTTCCTCTTCCTCCTCCTCATCCACTACGCCCCATCGTGTGGTCGGGCAGCAGGGCTACGATGGCATGATGAATAAAGGCCAATACCAACCAGGGATGCCCTTGTCAGTGGTTCCTTCTGGGGGGCCGGGGCAGTACCAAAGCACCATGCCTCAAGGTAAATGTTAATAAATTCGAAAATGGTTCATTTGTAGCCTGTAAAGATTTATTAAAGGGTTGAAACTTATAATATATAAGTACCGTCTGACACCCATCACAGCATGAAATCGGAAACTCATGTAGTATAATTAGTTATTAAACTGTCATTGACACAATCTATGTTTGTGTTTCTGTTGTCAGGACGATTAAAGAGTGATTAAATCGAGTGTCACAAAACACAAACTACCCAGGAATCACCTTTCATTAGCCACTTAACGTAACATGTAGGGATGGGTGGATCGATTCTGCTGGAGCGATACTTTGATACTCACAAGCTACGCATTTGGTATTGGTTCCTTAAAAAAAAAATCAGTAAAATTATATAAATGGAAAACATGGGTTGCTGCATCACTTCCACGCATTTTCAGTACTTCTGTATAATGTTTGTGCCAATAAACAGCCATGAGAATTTTAGCTGGTGTCACATGACCTTGGAAACCTATGCGACATGAGAAATTTCAAACTATCAACAAACATAGAGTCAAAAGAAAACATCCAAATCACATATATACAGATCCAGTATCGCAAAGTCACACACTTCCGTATCAAACTTGTGAGAGAATGGCAGAAAGGAAACGTATCGTGGTGTCGCTACTTTTCACCTGCAGATAAAAATACAACAAAATTCACTATTTGTGACAAGAAACTCCCACATCCAGTGTTAGTTGCTCTGGAACAATCATGGCCTGTTTACGAAGATGAAGAAATCTTAAATTTTCTAATTTTTTTATTCATATTTATTTGTATTATTGTGATATAATCATAGTATTTCTATAATTACTGGCCTATTTTTGCACTTATTAGCACAAACATTTTATTAAATTGTATTACATGTAATTGTAATAAATGTGTTATTAATGACTGGTATTATGTCATGGGATTTGCCTTTAAGTGTAATGATTTTCTTCTAGAGAGAATAATTATATTGAAAAATTACATACCCATTAAGGAAATGATAAGTAACGAAAAGTATCTGTATCATATCTTATTAAAAAATGTTTGGTATTGCCCATAACTAGTACCCTGGTGTCCTTCTGTTTATTCTAAATAAGTTTGGTATTGATTTGTTTTTGTTTTTATTTGCCTTAAATTCAGTTTAAGTTACTTGCTGATATTTTAATTATATTTGCCCCATATTGCTATTTGAGATCTGTTGGTGACCGTCAATTTCCCAGTAATAGTACATTAGTCTGTCAATGTAAAATTAACTATGTGTTCCATGTGTCTCAGATCAACAGCCTACGCACTGGGGATGGACATTGCAAATTAGCTTATAAATGATGTGGTGTGTGGAATTAGTTTATGCAACATACTTAAATAAACAATAAAACATTGATCAATCATAGCAATCATAGAACATTATAGTGTAAGTGAGTGTTAGACTCTACCAGTTTCTTTTTTTTCCCATCTAGGCCTTCCTGCTCCTGGACAGGCTTACCCTAGCTCCGGCCTGCCCATGGCCCTGTCCCCGTCTGGGAACCAGCCCCAGTACAACCCCCATACTTCCCACTCCTCCCATCAGCCAGCCACCAACCCCCAGTACCACAGCAGCCAGGGCATGGTCCATAGCAACCAGGTTATCATGACCCATACCAACCCACGTCCTCAGAGCGCTCGCTGCCTGTTGCAGACTAAAGGCCAGAAGAGCACGGATGGTTTCCAGGAACAGGTATCTGTCTGTCTGAGCACCTGTCTGTTTATCTTCAGCCTGCACATCCCACACTATCTTGGAGGTCTGTTTGAAAATAGGATGCACTCAAATGATGGCTAGGTTAGAAAGGATATTAGTTTTGTCGATATAGCTCCATTCAGTTACACTACAAGTAAAGGTGAATGGTCTGATTAGCTAAATTTGTAAGGTAAGTGTGACAGAGTAAACTGACTTTAACTTTTTTTAGCTCTGTCTCCGCCTTCAAAACAGATGTTGCATTTAAGAGTCAGCACAGCTAACCTGAACAAAATGCTGTTGTTGTATCGGTCAATCAGTCAAGCAATCAATCAAAATGTAATTACAAACATGTTAGTGTTATTCAAATGACTTACAAATGACTGACAAGATGATAAAAATACAATGCAGTACAAATATAAACAGTAAACTATTTGAGCTAATGCACGCAAGAACATAGAAATGGTAAAAGTGAAATAATCCAGAGATGTAGGCGGAAATCAAACCAGCAAACTAAGGTGACAAAGACAGAAGTGGTTAATGTTAACTTCTGTAGCCAGATCAGATGAGTTAATAACAGGACATGATGGTCACTAAATCAGACCCTCATGTCGACAAGTGATTTTGAAGGCCAACAAGCTGTTAATTAAGGACTCAATTTATTATAATACCTGGTACATCAAAGTGTAATTTTAGCAGCATTCTAACAGCAATGGTTTATGTAGAAACAGTACTTGAAAAAGCCATGGATGCGTAGTTCTAAAACTGAGATATTTCACAGATGGAGATCATTGTACCAGTTTAGGTAGGAACATGAAGTCATTCACACCATTCAGATCAGCTGATTGTGCTGAGGGGTTTTGTTTTTCCCTTCTTAGTATGAGATGGCTTTCATAATGCCAAATAGAAAAACTCAGACAAGGATATTTGTGGCGCAATTGTTGTTGCCAGAGAACTGAGGACCTCCAATATAGCTGCCAAAACGTGTCACACATCACATGAAAGCACTCTTCCACTGCTGTATATGTTGTCTTATCTACTCTATGCTTGTGTAGATTGTTAAGATCTTTGTATTTCACTTTCACTTGTCTTTCTTTCTTTTCTTTTTGTTTTTCTGTCTGTCTATTTCTTCCACTCCTCTCTCTCTAGTTGTGTGTAAGAATAGAGAAGAACCCTGGTCTTGGTTTCAGTATCTCTGGTGGCATCAGTGGCCAGGGGAACCCCTTCAAACCCTCCGACATGGTACGACCCGACCCGGCCTGCCAGCCAATCACAGCCTCCCCGGCTTTACCTCAGAGTTGCCATGGAAACTGCTGCTCATTACCCGCAGTGTTTCGTCTATCTGTCTGTATGTCTGTAAGGCAGCAGTTGACTTGGTTAACTTTGAGTCTCTTTGAGTCTGTGATCTTACACTACAGACTGTTGGGGGAAAAAAGCAGTTTAATTGAAGTTTATGTATTTGAAGGGGTAAAGATGCCTGAGCTGTCATAAAAATATATATCAAAACTAAACCTCTTGAAATATTGGAAACCCTTGTTATCCGAATTTGTTAAGAAGAAAATATACTTAATTAATCCCACAAGGGAAATTCAATGTTTTTTTCACTCTGGTGTTATTATTGTTATTAGTATGCACACACAGTCTGAAATACACACACATAATAACACATGGAGAGATGTGAGAGTGACACGGCTGCCACTCAGTGTGGCGCCCCGCCCCCGTTATGTTGTTAGGAACCTGACACACTTGTTTGGTTCATTTATACAGTATTAGATTTTTTGGAAAATTAAGAACAGCAACAAACTTGAATATTTCAGTCTACAGAAATAGATTTGTGCCCACATGCACTCATGGTGTCTTATTACTAGATAGGCCAAACTCTTTTATCATTTGTACTTCTGAGTTTGACTGATTTTGTCAGTTTGTGCCTGTACTGAGAGCCTGCTGGGGTTGCAGATCCCCCAGGCCTCCTGCACATGGCATTCTGTCCTAGAAACATGCTGCTATAGTCAGTCTAAAGGAGCGACGCTGCTAACGGAGCTCTGACAGCTATTTTAGGAAGGCTGCTTTAGTTCTGGGACACCGTGGGTGATTTTAGATGTTCAACACTTTGATCTAGGGATGGTGAAGTATGGCAGATTTTACTGACTGTTACTCAGATGTTGAGTAACTGAGTAACTGACGAGACAGCTGGTCTATAAATAGAGAGCCTACAAGAAGAATTCTTTAAACAGTCAGCCTCTGTACAGCCTATGTGACGAATGGTGAATTAATTTAAGTCGGGGGTATGAAGTGGTAATATACAAACTGTCAATCCATCATTTAACTTAAGTTTTTAATAAACAAGTAGTGACTTAGTTGCTGACACATACAGTTATTTAATCATTCCCATCTCTACTTGTATCCATAAAGCTTCCACCAGCTGCACTTTGTCAAAGCAGATGATTACTTTTGTCAAGGAATTAAATTGTGTAACAGTATATTTCTCTACTGTAGAAAATACAGTATATCATGTATGGTATATGATTAGACATAGACATACTTTATCTATGTATGTTAATAGGGATTAATTGATATTGCAGAATACTTGGCAATATTTCACATCAGAGTGAAATGTTTACCTTTACCATCATACTGTAGCTTTTTTAAAATCTCAGCGACAGTGAACGTCAGTCATCTGCTGATCTTCTGGGTATCTGCAGTAATCCCAGTTAATGTCAGCAAATGTTTAATTTTCACTGAGTTGTGGGAGTAGGCTATGTATGGTTCAAATGTAAATGTTATAAAGTGAAATGTGCATTTAGTTCTAAATGTGGTGTGAAATGAAATGTATGTCTGCTTTGCTCACCTCTGACCCGACACATGTGACCCCAACTCAGGTTCACACAGGGCTTCATGGTGGCAATTTCTGAGTTACCATAATACAAAAACAGCTATTATCTGTCACCACCAAATTTCCTTTTAATCGGCTTGTTCTTCTGGTCCCCATGTTACATCCAACCACACATGTGAGGCATCTTGCTAAAGCAATTGAAGGTTGCTTTCATGTTTTTCAGAAGTTGTCAACTCACAGCTGTCACATTTGTCAGCAGTTTTAGCTCAAACAAATGCAGATGCCTTTGATTTTGGTTTAATCATCATTTTATGGCCTAGTTATGATATCTCATTTTGGTTTGTCCAACCCTTTTTACATATATATCTGTGACTATTTTAGTAGATATTGCCAGATTTAGGACTACATAAATTGTTTTAATTGTCTTTGAATGTAAATTAGGGACAGACCTCAGGCTAAACTGAGCCAGAGTTTAAATAGTTAAAAAGGGCAGTGGATCAAAACAGCTTGACTGATTAATTATACATTTGTGGTTTTGATCTCTAGAGGCTACTACAGCCACCGCTGTGGCACATGACTGTGGCTCCACCTTGTGTTCAGCTGGTTGTTTGCACCCATGTCTGGGTAGCCCTCAGGTTAATTTACAACTGAAAATTGTTTTTTAAAAGTGCTATACAACGATAATTATTATACTGTTAGAGCAGTATCACCATCACTTGTTTTCAACAATTTCAGTTTGAATTGGAAAGCCTGTTATATACATACAAATTCTAACTAAAGGTGCCTCCTCTTTTTTTGTTAAGCACTAAAGTAAAAAAGCATAAACATCTCGTATTAGTTTTGGTTCGAAATTCTCTTTTATCTTTTATAATGGCTGAACACAACATGAATATTTTACCATGAGAAGTACATAGTTGTGTATTGTTCAAATGACACAAACTATAATCCTAAACTTGACATAATTGTTTTGTTGTAAATAATCTTTAAAGATATCTAACAATATCCCTTATCATAACATTTTGTTTGTTTTTACTTGAAACAACAACAAAGTTTGGCCTGATCAGCCTTCTTTAAAGTTTGAAGCTATTTGCATGTGTTTCTTGTATAGAAACAGAATAATCTTGTGAGAACTAATTTAGATTGATTGAAGGTTTTACAAAACATACTTGTGAGAACAGAAATGTCCTTATCACATTGAATCCGACAAGTTGTTTCAAAATTTAGACTGATGTTTTAAGTTTGACTTAAAAGACTAGCTATGGCACTCCAAGCCACTGGGTCAGTTTCACTTCTGGCTAATTAGGATTCAGCAAGTGGAGACGGTGACTCATTTCCTGTATTGACAGGAGTGGGATCCCGGGCTTTGATGTATTTACTTCTCATGCTCGGTTTAAGTCCTGATGGCAGATTTCATGGAGAACTTGGATTTTTAGTCAGATCTGGGCCTTGAACATCTGAAAATCCAGTTTTCTGTTTATGGTGTTACTAAATATGTCGTCTTTGTACACTGAGCTACTGTCAATATTTACCAACTAATTTTTTGAAGATTTTTTTGTATGTTATCACTAAGCTGCAAAAACCTCACCCCAGTACTATCCTTTTTTATGGACCTGACCACTTTTGTTGTCCCTACTTGTGGAGAAAGCAGTTTATATGCTTGTGGTCAAACTTAACAACACCTTAAAAATAGGCACATTTTCAAAATTTCTGAAAAAATCCAGACATTTGAAGATGGAAGGTTTTTGCAGGGCGCTGCAGCTTTGTGTGCAACAGCTTTAAAGTATGTAAATGTTTAATTGTTGTGACTAACAATTTTCAGCTGCTAACAAACACATTTGTAATGTACAGTGAGCTCCGTATGTGACCTGGCAGGGATGTCTTTAAGTTTTTAAGTCCACTTTCTCAGTACCGCAGTAAAGGATGTCATGAAGTATTAAAATGAACTGACCAGTTTGTAGTATGTGTATATATATATATATATATATATATATATATATATATATAAATTGCATATATGCGCCACTTTGCATACAAATGATGAAAGATTTCATAGCCACATTATCAAAATTATTTGATTGTATACATGTATGAGGCTCACTGTATGAATGCCAGTAACCCAACACTTCTAACATACACACCTCTTTAACATGCAATATATGTGTTTGTTTTGCATTCACTCACATACTGTAGTATGTTGGTGCTACTGCACTGTCAATACTACATCATATTGTTTTTGGTTTATAACTGGTGTCACGTGTGGCACATTGTGTGTTCAACCAGTGCACAACCTGTTGAACCATGTTGAGTTGATACGGCTGCATTGTCCTACACTTTCTGTGTTCAAAAACATCTTTCAGCGCTCAGTGAAAAGATGTTGGTGTTTTTACAATCTCTGCCTTGGGTTATTGAGGGGACATATGGGGGATTAAATATCTCTGCCCTCCCTGCTAAATACTTATTTCCACAAGTTCGTACCTATTCCACTATTCTTCCCCTATTTTATATTTAATTACTGTATATCTATTTTTCTCTCTTTCTAGCCTCATATCTATTCTATGTCGATACAATAAAACATTTTGACATGTATAGTCTATGTCTTTTTGGGAGGAATGTATCACTCAGCTTCTGTAAATTTTAAGATAGATGCCAATAACAAGTAAACCCAAGTACTTAAAATGACAAAAATCCTATCATCATGAATTGCATGCCTCTCTAAATTTAGACTAAAGAGAATGCATTGGTGAACTTCCCGTATCTTTTTGGCAGAAATGTGATTTTTATTTGAGGGGGGAGGGGGGTGGGTATTAAGATGAGAATGAGAAAGGCAAAGATTCTAAACCATCGTGTCCCTGTGTTGTCCTAACGTTGTATCATTTTGACTTATAGGGTATCTTTGTTACTAGGGTACAGCATGACGGGCCTGCCGCCTCTGCCCTGCAGCCCGGGGACAAGATACTGCAGGTAACATCCTCTAAGTCATCATTAAATGGGCCAGAAACAGCCACATGCCCTGCCCTCTCTCCCTCCCTAACCTTTCCCTTATTTGGTAAATTGCGAGGCATTGCATTTGGTAGGGAAAAAGAGGAAGTCATGTACACTTTCTACAGTTAGCTGGACATTTTCTTACACAGATAATTCCACAGAGACACACAAATGCTGTTTAGTGAACAGACAAACAGTGATTGAGCCAGTGATCACAAAGTAACTCATCCACTGGTATTATTTTACTAAGTGTTTATATTAGACTTGATCATTTCCCTGCCTGTACATTCTGCCTGTGTGTGTCGTGTTGGTCTCCCCCCCCCACCAACTCTCTCTCTCTCTCATTCATCATTAGCCACTGACACCCAGAAACCTTTTGGCCAAAGCTCACAGGGGGATTTGAAAGCCTAAAACAATATGACATTTCTACAGTTATTTACACTATTAAAATGAAACTAAGGACTTCATCAATTTAAGAAAGGCCTGAAGTTACTTTTAACTATGTAAAAATACAGATTCGGTTCTAACTGTGGGATTGCAGTTGCGACACAAAAGTAAAAAATTCTACTAGTTCAAGCAGAATTAATTTTAATCATGGCTACCATTTTTAACAGAGTAGTGATTTCTGGCACAACTTTATTGTGAGACCGAAGAGTTTCTGTTTGTACTTGTCATCGTAAAATACATCACAAAGAACCTTTAAATAGAATGAGGATGAAAATAATAAACAAAATAATTGCAAAAGTTTAACAACCAGTCATGCATACACATACTGTACATATCAGCCATTGGGGGCATCCGCACGTGGATTTTTTTATGACCCTGATGACTGATCCAAGCCAGAATGCTTTGGTCTCACAATTAAGTTGCTGTTTGTAATATATTTACGATATATATTGTCGATTAATTATTTTTCTAGTCAAAACAACTTTTTGAGCCAGACATGTTTTTGTGCTCAGTCTTCTAAATTATATTTATATAAAGTAACTTTGGATAAGACATGGGCCAAAACGCTGGGAACTGCACCACATTGCATTATGAAAGTAACTGAATACTGCAGTTTGGCTGAATTACAGTAGGCCTATGCTATTTTCAGATGACTAGCTTGTTTCTCTTAAATATAAGTTGTGAAAAAGCAAACATAGGTGCATCATAAGTAAACATGAGCACATTCTGATTGATGCGGAAATAATGTATTGTTACACCTCGCCGGGATTCTTTCCCAGGGCCAACAATACCTATTAAAACAACTTCCACCTTCCATGTAAATCAGTCAAAACAAATCAGAAAACAATAAACAGAACTGATTTATTTATGTATCTATTTATTTATATAATTATTTATTTATATATTTACTATATCTGTTATTTCAAAATAGTGCTAAAGTATGTCCATTTCACTGCTATAATTTACCCCCCCACCCCCTATTTCTCTCATTCCTTTCATACCCCCCCCCCCCCCCCCCCATCTTCTCTCCACAGATGTACAGTTTAGCTGGATGAACTCATCTAAAAGCCCTTTTTTGTCTTTACCCCTTCTCTCTACAGCATGACTGTGTAGCTCCTCCTCTTCTCTCTCTTTTCCCCAACAGTGATGTGTTACTGAGATAATGATGGCAGTGACCCTCCATCCTTCCACAACACACATACACACACACACACACACACACACACACACACACACACACACACACACACAAATACATATGTATGGAAATACTGCAGCACACATACCTCTATACATACATGCACACACACATGCTGTTGACTGTGCTGCGTGTTTGCCTTGCAGGCTAACGGACATAGTTTTTTACACATGGAGCACGAGACAGCCGTCTCTCTGTTGAAGAGTTTCCAGCGGATGGTGGACTTGGTAGTACTGAGAGACAGCAGCACGCGCTAAAAATAATTTTATAACAAACAAACAAACAAACACAACGCTTCTCGACTCTGCTCTTCGCCATCCCATGCCACCCCACCTGCCCTCTACTGGAGGCTTGTGGACCTGAAAAACGAGCCGCCTTTTTTACCTTTTTAGGGGAATACACAGACATTTATTTGCCTATTGCTGGACCAAAGGCAAATACTAGTGCCAAATGTACCATAGGAAACATATCGGCTCTTCTGTCCAGCGGCGGTCAGGGACCTGATCGACAACTGGATGGACCACAAGAGGACTCTATGCTTTGAGTTCCTACAGGGCTGCTGCAGTTTGGATTTTGTGGTTGGTTTGTTAATTAGTCATCTGATCAGTCAGTCTGAATAGTTTTTGTTTTTGTTGGTTAGTTAGAGTTCTGGGGTGTTTTTGCCACTGCCTCTTATTTTGCTGTCCTCTTCTGTTCTATTCTGTTTTCTGTTGTCTTGTATTGTGTTTTTCTTCTTTGTCTTTTATTTTCTGTTCCATTCTTCTCTTTCCTTCACCATCTTGTGTTTTTAGTCTTTTTTGCTGTCTTCTGTTCTTCGCTGTTCTGCAGGTATTATTGCCTCCAGTGTACAGAAATTGAAAACTTAAGACTTTCTGCCTTGTGTACATATATCGAGCTGCAGCTTTCTAGAGCTGCAGTCTCCTTGGGGCCTGGACAGACAGCTCTAAAAGTTTATGAGTAATATAAATATTGTTGATAAACCGCATTCTGAATTCTCTCCTATGAACATACAGGGATTATTTCTCCAAATGGACATTTTTCTAAAGTATACCACAGATTTCCTTCTGTAAAGAAAACACTGTTCATAGTTCATCACAGCTACTTGTTTTTTTGTTTTTTAAACTGTTGCTTGCACAGCTGTGCTGAAAAGAGCTAAAGCAATATTTCTGAGGCTCAGCCCATTGAGATTTTCAGCAGAGCCTAACTTGTCCTGCAGTGCCATCTACCAAGCAATGTTTACATACACTGCCATGCACATAAACTCACAGGCAAACACAGATATTGTATACAGTAGACGTATGTGCCCCCATACACAACACACTGTGCACTACTGCATAATGAAGCCCTGTCTATATTCTAGCCTCATTTTTAGAATTCAACTGCTATCATAAAACCAGTCACACTCACACACACACACACACACACACACACACACACACACACACACACTGTAACATTATTCATAACTTCTGTGCCAATATTTTGAGGTCCTGTTTTCTAGTATTGTTACAGCAATGTTGCATCCTTTTTAGCTGTTTGAGTTGTATGTCAAAGTCACAGCATGCTTTCATATCATTGGTCACTGAACCAGCCATTTTATGTTGTCTTCTAGACTTCTCTACACTGTAGACGACTCTAGATGTAAAATATCACTGAGTTTCAGTGAGACTGATGTTCTATAATTGGTGCCATATAGACCCTCTGCCCCTCTCTGGTTGCATTTACACAGGCCCAAAGCATCAGAACTTTACCTCTTTGTGGCCCAGATCTGATCTGCACACAGTGGGCGCAGCGTGAAAACTGTTTCTTAACATTTGGTAACCATCACCTCTGGGGAAGTGTCCTGAACTCTGGCCTCCCTGTGGAAAGCAATGAGAGAAAAGAGAATGTCCCTACAAGAATCAGTAAGGTATAACACACGGTGTTAGTGTCTTAATGGGTAAATCTGTAGTGAATCAGAGTTTCCCTTTTTAGACAATCAGGGAAAGATCTGCTCTGCGTCACAAAGACTTTTGTCTAAACTTGAAATTTCAGTGTAACTTTTGTAACCTGAAGAGATGCTCATTGACTCTAGGTGGACAACTTAGTTGATGAATGTTAAAAATTATATGTGGATAGAGTCAGATAGTGTTTGGAATATGACATTAAGAAGAGCAGGGAAACAAAGAAAAGTAGACTCAGATGTAGAAACTGAGCGTTTTTTGGAGCCATGTCAATGTGGCTTTGGCCATGCTTCAGAAATTGTATTGGCATGACAAAAGTAACCACAGAAAAAGAGCGAAGAGGTTCATTTTCTGTCTTTGTGTAAATGCAACACATGTCTTGAAGACTTTTCATGACAGGGAGTTTTGTTCTGTTCTGTATAACATCTGATGTTTCATTCAGAGCAAAACAACATCCTTCACTGTCCTTTGCTTTTACTTGACATGACAGTGTCATCCTGTGCCCATTTTGTGTCAACTCTTTTAATAAGAGTTAGAATTTTGTTAATTCAATATAAGGGACACAAAATGACACAGTTTAGTCATGTGGTTGAGAGATCTTAACCACAGGTACTCACCTAACCCTATTTAGAGTTTTAGTTTGAATCAAAGATATTGTGATGAGAACAGAGAAAAAGGTTTGATAATATAATTATTTTTTACTACATGTTTCAGGTAATTCTTTCTAAATATATTGATATACCTTAGCTTTGCTCAAAAATTGTGATATTTTATAATAATGACACTTATAACAAAGTTATGGATGGAAGTACGCACAGTATGACTTGGAGACCTACACATGTACTATCCAAAACTGTATAAAATGTATTTCTACTGTAATTGTGAATTTGTGTTATACAAATATATATATATATATATGTATATGACTATAAAAACAGTCATTTTCTATGTGTTTAAACTACATAAGAGCTGAACAAATGGAGGACGGTGTCACTGTACATAGCTGTGAATGAAATCCAATTTAAAATGACTCATATTGATTGTGAATGTACTCATGCTTTCTGCAGTACCTACACCTACCCAACTTGAATGCTGCTTCTTCTGTTGTGTGACAAAAAGTACTTTGACCTCCGAAAAAGAGAACCGCTGTAAAGTTATAAGTTGGACAAATTTTAGTGACGATTTAACAAAACTATTTATTTCTTTATTTATTTGCACATGCAAGTTGAACTCCTTCCAGTTTTAAGTTTGAGTATTAATGCGGAGAAATGTAATTGCAGAAGTATATATAATATATATCATGTGTTTAGAATGCATTTTGCAGATGCTATCTGTACATACTATTTAAGATACAGTTTTTACAAAAAATAATATATGTATAAAATTGAAAAAATGCTGTGCAGCGATTATACTGGAGCCATTTTGGGCTTTGGGACGTACCATTTTTTCAGTATATAAGAAGTGTTTTGAATAATGTACTAAAGTCTCTATTGTACAAATAATAAAAATGTCACTATTGGTAATCTGGGTTCCTCCTGGTGCACTGAGCTCTGTGGATGGCAGGAGAGATGGATATCTCTATTTCTGCTCCTCTGTGTCTTTATTACTGTAGGAAGAGAGAACAAGGAAAAATAGGGAATTAGACAAAAGAAGAAAGGGATGAAGGAAACAAACAAGGAGAAAGGAAAAAGACATGAAAAAGAAAGGGATAAAGTTCAAGCGGGTAGCAAAAAAGAGATGAGGTAAAGAAAGGAAGCGAGGGATAAAGAAAGGAAAGAGGCGGGAGCAATGAGGATCGCCACAGCAGGTCTGTGGTAGATTTCAGTTTCCTCTGCTTCTGTGTGGATTAAACTCAGTACTCTCATCATGTCAGCAGATGCTCCTTTGTGTTCCTGTCCATTAGTCTAACAGCCTGACTCTTCTTCATCCCTCTCTATCCATCAATCTCATTTATTCTTGACACTCGTCTGAGCTGTGGATCACAGAGGGTCAGCTGAGTCATTGTTTGTCAGTATCTCAGTTTGTCAGTGTTTTTCAGAATCTCAAAGGCAAAGTTTGGTCCATTGTGGTAAGTATTATGTTATAAAAATACTACTGGATTTTGCACACAGCACATGCAGCTGAAAAAACTGATCCTTCCTGCTTTCTACCAACCTGGCTTCTCTGACCTCTGAACTTGTTGACACCTACTGTATTCTGTCTTTGATTTATTGATGACCTTTAATGGACATTAATAACAAGGAAATTAAATTATAAGTCCATTTTATGGCTTTGTAAGAAAATCCAACCCAATTTTGCTCAATGCGCGTATTCATTTACCATTCAGTATGTCTAAAAAATAGTCTTTTAGTTGTCATTTGTTTAACTTACAACTAAGAATAATTTTTGAAACAGTGTCACTTTCGGTCTTTCTTGTCTGTTTGTCTCTAAAATCCACCATCGGAACATGTTGGGTTTGATGGCGAAAATTTATGTCCAGCAGTTGAACTTATTCTCTCACATAATATTTGTTAAACTTTTCAGCACAAATCTATATGGTAAATTACTTGCAAGCATGTTACTGAGTAGTAATAACATAGCAATAATGAACAAGATAGCGGCGACGCAAGCCAGGACACGAAGCCATGTCTGTTATTTTCTAGCTTCGTAAAGGATCTGCATAGCCTACTTCTTCTACCGTTTACCACTCATTAACTGCATTATTTAGCCTACCACTAAAGTGTGGTTTACTGGATTCATAACTGGATTGTAAATGATAGGTATAATTGACTAAATGTTCTTCCCCTTGTCTGTCTTGTACCATTCCCCACTGTTCTCCTGGCATCAGTGCCCTAGAACAATTCTGCTTACTGTGATACAGGCCGACAATTAACAATAGAGGGTAATAGTACACACACTAACACACGCATTGACAAAAGCAGAATGATGCCCCTTTGTTCCCTTTCCTCTTTACTCTCTCATTTACACACTGGTTTGGACAAAATGATAGGCCTACGTCTGTGTGCTGACTGACCAACCCACTTACACAGTCATGCATACATTTCTCCCCACCCTAACTCATATTATGCTGGCATCAGTTTGTGTGTGTTATACAGAGCAAGAGTTTTTTTGCGCCCATCAAAGTTGTCAATAAGCTCTTGTGACCTGATCAATAACAACACCAGAGACTGAGTCCATGACCTGCATTCAGCTGCTGCCTGCATGTGTTTAGTGAGTTGAGTGAGTGAGTGAGTGAGTGAGTGAGTGAGTGAGTGAGTGTGTGTGTGTGTGTGTGTGTGTGTGGGTGTGTGTGTCTGCAGATGCAGTGTCCCAACAGTCGCTCCACTGTCTCCAGACAGACATAGACATACAGTATATTGTGTCCAACATGCGGGACATCATATGTGTCCTGCAGCAACTTCGGATTTCTAATTTTGCCTTGCTGTCTTTTTAGTCTGACAACTGTCAGCATCTCCACTCTCAAGGTTATGATTGTTGACCTTATTACTGAGTTAATGCATCATAGAATGTGAAATAGACTGGTGTCAGTGAGACAAAGAATATAAAAGGTACACTCCCACAATTATGGAAATTAACTTGTTTGCTTTCCAGAGCATGAAGAGAAGATCGGTATAATTCCTTTTCTGTTTGTCCAGTACACAGATAGGTACGGGATGTATAAGCCTAGCTTAGCACATGAAAGCAGGCGAAACAGTTAACCTAACTCCATCAAAAGTGGAACAGCAAAGTACAAAGGTGTCTTATTTAGCCTGCTCATTGAATTTAACAAAACCCAGATGAAGCCTGGGTTTAGTGGTGACTGTTTTGGAGTTGTTAAAAGGCATATTCTTAATTTTTGAGCTAAGCAAGGCTGAAAGCAACATGAACCTTTGATTTGATATTCATCTCCTCATCTGACAATGGGTAAATAGGTGGTATTTCAAGATGTTAGACTCTTACTTTAAAGGCATACTCCAGTTTTTATGGATGATTGGCCTATTGGTCAGATAACTTTTAGCTAGATGATGGAAATATATACACCAAAGTAGCCTATTCGCTTTTTATTCCCCATCTGACAATTAGCTTGCGTAACCTAAACCACTAAAGTGATAATAGGCAAACAAAACATTTGGCAAACTTTTTTTATTTCACTAATTTGTGATTCTGTTTATGATCTCAGATAAACTTTATAAGATAAATATTAGCAATGATGTGGTTAAATGTAGTTCTGAAACTATTTTGAGAATGAACTGGCACTCGCAGTATAGCCTATTGGAAACTCAAGAAGCTGTTAGTAAGACACAGTATCATCAAATTTAAAGTTAACTTCCCCAATCTCCCATTCAAGTCTTATTCGCATATAAAATATCACGCCTTCAATCACCAAAACATGTGGACAAGTGCTAGCAAATGCTATATATAGCAGATGCTACTGCATTCTTAAAGAAGTAACTTAGATTCAAAGTTTGGTGGTAGGCTAAATATAGAGAATTCTTCAAACACTGACAGTAATGTTACTATATTATGTGACATAAGTGTTTTTAGACCACTAAAGTGCATGAAGACCAACTCCATTAGCTAAATTACCAAATTTATGTTAGCAGACAACTGCCTGCTACACTGACCAAAAACAGCAACATTTACAGTTATCTTTCTGGCCACCCGTTGAATGTGAGTCCAGTATTTACTGGATTATTAATCCTAATTTGGTCCAACCAACTCTCTCTTTATTGTTTAACATTCTGTCACGCAGTTCTGGTTTGTGGAGATAGAGTTAGCTTACTGTTAGCTTGTGTTAGCTCCTGTGCTGGGAGCAGCTTCCCATGTTACCAACTGGGAATCAACAATTTTATATTTAAATTGATAAAATACTAAAAATAAAAACTTTTATCTAACCAATCTTTAATGCGTTAGATGCTTAAGTACTACTTGATTTTCTGCTGTGCCACACATAAACTCATCTAGGATTTGTTTTCATTTTGCATTGTTTTGGGTAAACTTGGCCCTGGTAATGTTAGTTGACATGGATCTAGGCTGAGAGATCAACACACCTGGGATAGAGAATCTTTAATCTACTCAACACAATTTAACTATTTACCATGACCGCCAAATTCACAGGCTTGCCTGGACAGCCCGTGGGATTACACCTGTGACATTTCAACTATATCCCTCATACACCTTGCATTTTAGATTGTGTTGTGTTTTGTGTGTGAGCATAGGGGTACCATAATATATATCAACCCTACACACCCAGCATTTGCTATAAATTTGACCAGACTTTTTGTTTTATATCTGTACAGTTAAATATCTAATTTAATCAACAAGTATGACACTGGGGGCTGTATGAGAGGTTTTAGATCTAAAACTGTCTAATCAGTATCTGTAAACCCAAATCTATACTCAGAGTTGAGTGGATTAGATGTTAGATGTTCTTTTATTCACTGCACACAATATAGCTGTTTAAAACATGACAATACCACCAACATTCACAAGCTGCTTATGAAGAGCCTCTCAAACCTGCTTTAATAGTGCTTTGAGGCCAGTGCATGAATGTGTGTGTCTTTTAGGGACTTATAGGTAGGTGTGTGTGTGTGTGTGTGTGTGTGTGCGTGCGTGCGTGTGTGCTTGCGTGCGTATTTCTGTGTTCTTCCCACAGGACCGCCTAAGAACCGGTTGGACAGCGTTTTGAGTCAAGTCACCTCAATGAAGAAATGGAGAACTAGTTTTACAAAAGCGAGACAGAGGGAGAGTGAAAGAGACGACGAGTGAAAAAAACAAAACAAGCGACATCTCCGGGTACCAAGTCCACGCGGCGCCTGTCAGCGTTTGATGTCAACGTTTGACAGTTTCTCTTTTCTCTGCCGCTTTGACGGTTTTCCCGGACTTTCAAACACTCCGTAAAGTTTTTCTTTTGATGAAAAGACAAGTTGGTGTAGACTCTGGTGTCAGGTCGGTGTCCCAGTTTAGAGGCAGGCTGTCCCGGGACAGGCGAACACATCTGTAATAACAGATAACACTGTGACAGCGACGCAGACCGACACAAGCCCGGGGGGAGGAGGACTGTGCGACTCACCATGCCTGTGCGACAGAAAGGTAAATATAATGTTTGATAATTCTTTGGCTTCATTTTCATCTCTGTTCTTTAAAATTTGTTTTGTTATAGAAAATATATCAAGTGCAACTGTTCTAACCACTCTAAAAGGTTGCGTTGATGTTGTTGGTTATAGGTCAACGAACCTCTCTTTAGCGTTAAGGACAACGCTACAGCACGAAACTTCTCTACAACATCCGTAATGTAACGCTGAATTGTTAAGTGGTCGACACATAGGCCTACACCTTATAGATCATAATTTAAGAACCTTTACTAATTATTCACGAATTGTGGTTAATACGGCACGCGTTATCTACCTGACAGCATTTAATTTCATTTTTTAAATCTGCTTTAGTTTACCTATAATCTATTAGCTGGTAGCATTATGCACTAAAACGCACAAAGTTTAGATGGAGAGAATTCAGCTCAATATTTTCCCGACTCTGCCTTATGTTAATTGCATGCTGCTCTATTAATCTGTGTGAATGTGCACATATTTAATAGGCTTATCTGAAAACTTCTGCTTGATATATTGCTTGATATATTATTGGGCTATAGATACGTAAATAATCAATAAATAAGAAATAATTTTGAATGTCGTCTGGCTTGACATCTTCACTGCAAGAAGCCGCAGTGCTTCCGGTTTAATCAGATGTTAAGATTGCCAAGGAGCCTGGAATGCCGTCTGCAGCCTTTCTTTACACCATAAACTATATTGCCCACATGCCCTTCCGCATGAGAGTTACACAAAGCCATGGTAATAAAATGTTAGTAGTTACCATTTCAGAATGCAATAACGTGAAATAAATATGCTGAATTTTCAGAATTTACCACATAACCATTATAATTAAGACAAGTTAAAAATATCACTCAAAACTCCTGTTTTTATTTTTAATGTAATATATCATAGTGATTTTACCTCAGGAGCTGAGAGTACATGTGCACCTCAATTCACCTTTCTAAAGCTAACAGTTGTTACATCCATGTACAGTACTGAAAGAACACCTTACTTTAATTTAATGTGCAATTCTGCATTGATGTTGAAAACTGAAAACAGGGAGGCAGAAAGGGAAAGAAAACATTCTATGATATTTTTAAGTAGATGGGGTATTTTAAAGGCCTATTGACAGACTAACACCTGTGTCACACTCACTGTGTGGAGCCAGGTGTCTTTTATTAACTTCACTCTGATGAAGACCCTGTGAGGTCTAAACCAGTTCGAGTTTTTTACCATAGTAATCCTCAATTAAGTAGAGGCTTTTAATGTACAGCACATAATCTCCTTGCTCTACTTAAGAGTGCCTGGGGAATTTTGTCTTTCCTTTTCTGTCATTACTTATGGGGTCAAAAGGTTTTTGTTATTTACATGTGTATTTTGTATTTAGATGCTCAGCGAGCCCTGGAGCTTCTCCAGCAGTACCGGGTCAAACTTGACCAGAGACAGCAGAATCAGTGCCTGACCAAACAAGGCCCTGTGGAGGAAGACCACCAGCTCCAGCAGTCTCTGGACAGAGTCATCAATGTTTTCCAAAGTCAGCTCTTTAGTGCTCTGCTTGGTAAGGATATCTGTTTGTTCATATACCAGTGACCCACTGTTCTTCTATACATCCATTTAGATACTTACCATTACGACAAGTTCACTTTGAAGGCTTGGTTAGCTTTTATCTCTTGACAACTCCGTTGATGCTTGGATTTGACATCTGTAGGAGATGAAATATCTCTTTGAGTGACTTGTTGATTGTGTTGCTCACAGTGTAGCTGGGATAGCTTGGATACTGTTCATTGAAAGAGGTTTTTGTTAGCACTATTTCAAATGTAATATTGAATTACATTATCTTAAACCTGGGCAAATAAAATAGAAATTGTCTGCATGGCTAGATGCCACTGTTGTGATTTGGTTGAACTGATCAGACAACAACAGCACACATTAACGACATACAATGACAAACAACAGCGCACTCTCATGCCAGTTCAGCAAGGCCTTTTATTTAAGGCGACATGGCTGACTGGATTAGGCTTTTCCCAAAGCAAGCCCTCCTGCATCTCAGTGCTCTGTACCTGGGCCCAGATGGCAGTAGGGTAAGATGGTGATTGAGTGGGTGTATGATGTCCTGTGTTATTGAGCTTGCAATGCGTGCAATGGCCTTAATATTTAGTTCTGCTAGGTTGGGTATGGGGAGACCAGTTATCCTAGCAGCGGTTTTGGTTATTAGCTTGGTTTTTGTGCTGGTCTTCAAATTAACTTCATAAACTCAGTGTGCTACTCTGCAGCCAGGTTTGTTTGCCTTGCATTTTGTTTGTTTGTTGGAACAGTGCAGTGTGTAAGTCAGGAAGCCAGGATGCTATGTGTTTTGGACTGTATATGAGGGCTTGAAGACAGGAACTTGCTTTGGTCCAAATGAAGATAAAAAGGTTTGGTTTGATCATAAGAGAAGGAGAGGAGCACATAGGATTTTTACCTATCTATGAATCTTAAATTAAGATAGGACAAGAAGTTAGGACATTTTTCTGCAGTGAGGCCCCCGAACCCACGGATGTAGGCGTGATGTCGTCTGTCACAGTAAACACAGGGCCCTTTGTAGAAAGTACGCACTAATTTAGAGAATGTGTAGCAAGTACAAATTCCTGCCAAGAGTTATCAGTCTGTGTCTAACTGGTTAGTTCTGCTTGTGGTGAACTGTTGCCTATTTGAAGGAAAACACTAGGCACATGTGTGTCTGTATGGCTATGTGCATGACGACAAACTGGTTCTTATTCTCTGTTCCCACCTGCTTTGTGCCACGCCCACACCTTTAGCTGTTACATTAACACTCCTTTCTCTGTTTTGTGTTTATGCACATTGTGTGTGTGCTGTTCACTAAACATGAGTTTCTGTTTGTGACTTTGACTTTTAATGGAGCTGTCAGTGTTATATCTGACACACACACTGAGTGTGTTTTTTTTCCCGCTTTATTGCTGAAACATAGTCATCGGAAAAGGAAGCCAGGGTTTGGATTAAAGAGCAGTGGATGATCCACCCAGCCAGATAAACTGGACCAGGCACCATGGTCTTTGACTGCAGTCAGAGGGTAACTACTCTAGCATGACACCTGTCTGGATTAAATGGGACCCATGCTGGCCAAGCAACAGGAAATTAGAGACTGTTGTGCTCACATCTTTATGTCTGATGTTCAAAACTCCAGCAAAATGAGAGACTCCATCGATGATGTTTGGTGCTCAAACGCAGCCAATGTGGATAGGCACTTTCCCAAATGTTGTTACCATATTATTATCATTATCTTATTGATGCTGTTTACATTCTTCCAGACGCAAATACAAAAAGTCCACTGCAGATTAATTTTTTGGGTGTATAGCGCTACATTCAAATATAAATTTTATTATTTGTTATATTCTGTGTGTGTAGCATGAAATGACTACAAACTTCTATTTTGTTGTACAACTTGTGTTGTATAATGATAAATAAATTAACTTTATCCTTGATCCTGGATAGATGTGACATGGATAGATGTGACTGTATGTTACTTCACTGTGTAATTTCCATCTTTGATGCCATTTTTAATGCCATTTATATATATTGTACTTAAATTCTCTGTGTCTTCACTCTTCTCCTTTTCTTTTTACACATCCTACTCCAACCGTCTGTATATTCCCTTTCCTCTTCTCATATACTGTACCTCTTATCTTCTCTTATGACCACCAAACTTATCTGAGAAATCAGCCTAAGCTCACAACCATGTCTGTGATTAAGTGTAGAATATCTAGGGGGAAGTGAAACCTCTAGATGAATCATAAAGTGACTTTGATACATTTTGTCAGTGTGGTTACTTCTTAAAAAGGGAAATGACAGTGGTATTAACATTTCCTCTTTGATGTGGGAATCCCCTAAATACAAGAGCTACAGTTCTACTGTAACCATTTTGGCAGTATGCTTGTGCTGCCACTAGAGGTCAACAACTGTGTTTGCTTTAGTTTCTCTACCAATTACCTTGCTATCGCAAAAGTAAAAGCAATCCAACTATTTTGTGACTAGCACTTGCTTGCATCTGAATGCAATGTACAATATACAGTAGATCTTAATAATTTCTACTGTATTTGGATGATGAAAACAATAATCATAATAGATTTATCATAGATACATTTCCACATTATTTTTCCATTAACTGCTTTATCAATCAATTGTTTAGTGTTAGGGTTAGGAATGTAAAAATATTAAAAGAAATGTCATCACAGTTTCCCGGAACCCAGTGTGACATTTTTAAATGTCTTGTTTTGTTTATCAAACTGTTCAAAACCCAAAGCTATTTAGTTTACAATAATATGAGACAAACAACCAGCAAATCCTCATTTTGGAGAAGCTTAAACCAGAAAATGTTTTGAGTTTTACATAGATATATGCCTGGAAAGATTAGTTGATTATCAATTTAATTGGCAGTTAATAAGATTTCAATATTTTATTCAATCGTCATCCTGAAAAGACACACATGAAGCACATTAGAATGATGATAATAGTGCCATAATTTAAAATTAGTCTAATTTCTATGTATAGATTTAAAATGGATATTACATAACCATTTCCATATGGTTAACCATATGACATGAGTAATGAAGTAAAATTTTTATTGTATTGTAAACAGAAAATATAAAATGGCTTAACTTTAGATGATGCATGGTGCAATGTTAAATTACCATAACAGCAGCGGTGCAGAAAATCACTTTAAAGTGACTACTACTAACATAAACACATTCCCCGTGTTGATAATTTTAAGATATAATGCTTGTGTGGGGACACAAAGTAAACGGGATTTGCAGTGCTGTCTTGCTGCAGCTGCTGTCTTGACAAACTGCTCTAGGATGCTTTTGTGTTCATGCTGCTTCAAGAGTTGTTGCATAGTAGTTGTACTGATGTGATAAGCCATTTCAAACTTGCAGAGCTTACAGAGTACCACATTGTTGGGTCTCGGTCTAAAAACTTTATGTGGTTGAAGGTAAATTTTTTCAGCTGCAGCTTGTTCTCTGGGGGAATTCCTGCTTAGACCAGGAACAGCACTTCATTGGGATGGGTTGTTGCATGTTCTGTGAATCGACATATTTCCGTCGCCAATTACATCGATCAGGCACCCCAGCCCTAGAAATAACCTCATTTATTAATGCTCTAAACTCTTCAGTCATTCATCATGGCTCTAATTCCTTCTCTCCTTCCAGACATTCAGGAGTACTACGAGTTGACCATCCTTTCAGACAGCAAGTGCTCTGTGGACCAGACAGAAGGTCCAGGGGACCAGACACACCATCCAGGGAACCTCCCTGCCTCTTGTAACTTGCCAACAGAGCCCTCAATTCAGCCACAGCCCTCCTCTTGTCCCCTGAGCCCCCAAGCTTCTGGAGGATCGTTTAAGCCAAAGCCTCTGACACCCAAACCCAAGTCAATCAAATCCCCTGCCCCTCCAATCCCATCTGGAACACCTACAACAAAGCCGTCTTCCCCAACTACACAGTCCATTACACGGTCACAGTCAGCCAAGGTCAAGTACCGTGCTCCTCTCCCTCCGGTCCAGCTGGGACCCTCCGAATCATTGGCATCAGAGACTCCTAAGCCGTCTTCTCCTTTTGTTGCCACATCCCCTAGAGCCACAGAGAGCAAAATAGAAACCCCCACTGACTCCATAAGAAGTGGAGTATCACTGAATGGAACAAAGGCACATCTCACTGCCACCAACCCTGATCTTTCTTCAGAAACCACCCATCCACAAAGTTGTTCTGTCTCTCCAGACCTCAACTTGGTGACTGTCTCAGCCCTCATCTCCAGCACCATCCAAGGCCTTGTGTCTCCAGCCACTCCAGACAAACTTACCCCTACAAGCAGTATTCCTAGCACTCACCCTGGTCTCAACAGAGTCACTGGCAATACTATAATCACTACAGCTCTTGAGACCAGCAAGGACCCAGGCATAGGCAAAGTCACTGCCGGCACGAGTCCAACTAGCCCCAACCAGGGAAGATTTACCTTCAGCATCCGCAGCCCTAAAGTTCCTCCAGGAGCTTTGACGAAAGGACCTCATCTGAGGTATGTCCAACAAATAAGCATACAGTTCAATTGTTAGTAGGGTAGATTAGCAAACAAGACTTTACAACTGATATATTACAGTCTTAATTGATTAATTCCAGCCAGGAAATTCATTGCAAAACTCTGAAGCAATGAGCAATTTACACCAAAGATGTGGACAAACGAAAAAAAATATTTTTTGATCAAACATTGTGCTGACAGTATCACAATCATGTTGATGCTTTGAATAAAGATAATGTGGAGAAAAAAAAACTGTGCTACGAACTTTCGTAGCCTTTTCATTCATTTGCCATTGACAAAGTTTGAGTTCCTACAGGTGGTCCTTTTCTTTATCTGGCTATGCTGCTCATGCTAACTAACCGAAATTGAGAGCACACAATCCCTGTTGTTTAAAACAACAAAACTAATTGACTGATAAACTCAGTATAGTTTCATTGAGACAAACAACCAGCAAATCCTCATTTTGGAGAAGCTTAAACCAGAAAATGTTTTGAGGTTTACATAGATATATGCCTGGAAAGATTAGTTGATTATCAATTTAATTGGCAGTTAAACTCAGTATAGGTTCATTCCCAACTCTTTTCATTTCTGTTCAGTCAGTGATAGAAATTAATAAAATATGCATTTATTTTATAAAAATGTTTTAATTGAAAACTTATGTAAACACAAAAAATGATGTTAGCTATTAAACACTTATTAACACTTTGTATAATGAAAATGTTTTTGTAGTTCAGTGTAGTAGTACAGCAGAATTACAGTTCACCTTCAGACACCCTCTCTCCTTGATCTCTGTACCTAGTCCAACCAGCCCAGGGCCACCAAAAGTCAACTCCACTAGCCCTATCCATGGTCCCGCCAGCCCCAGGCCAGCTAACAGCCTACTGACCCCCAACAAGGTAAGACAACTGTAGTTGTTTTGTATTGGTGCTGGAAGAAACGTGCAGAAAATCTCTCCACAGTTAAAAGCAGAGTCTAATATGTATCCAAAGGTGGGTGTTGGTTGAGTTGTTGAATTGTTGAGTGGCAAGTAAAAGTAGGGCTGCACGCTTCTGGAAACGAGGTGAGGTTATGTTTTCTCTCCTGAGTTTGAAAGAAACTACTATTAAATGAAAATATAGCCTCCAATATCTCCATGTGCTTGGGAGAGCTTGTCAGGTTTAGTTATGTACTGTTTAAGGCTCCCATTATTGATGTTTATATGTTCAGGTGGCAGAGATTGCTCGGCAGCAGATACATTTGTCATGATGCTGCAACATCAGCTTATCATTGCTTGTAAGAGATTATGCTGTCATGATTGTTTTTGAACTTGAAAATATTCCACTCAACAGATCAGTATGTAGGATCAGCAAAACATTTTTGTCAGAACTAGGGCTGGATTAGTATTTTTTGAATCTTCCTAACCATCACTGGCAAGGTTATCTTGATAATGGCTGTTTCTCCTGCCTGCCTGTGCTCAGCTTGTCTTGTTATTTATGGATGCAGTTTATGAAGAAAATACTGTTCACCCTGCTAATTCGAATACAAGAATCATTGTCATAAAAGATTTTTGTTGCTTCTTCTGTAACATATCACTTCCCCTAGGTGAAATTACATACATGTGTTTAGCAGTGACAACATGTCTCCTGCTGAAGCAGTAAATCAAAAGGCTGCTTGGGGCTGCAGAGAGCAGAATTAGACCTAGATGGACAGATCGTTTACGCATGCTGGCTGTTTGAACAGTGGCTTACATTGCATTACATAATATGACAAGGGGAATCAATTCAGTTCAGTAACATTTTATTCAATTTTTTGAGTCAGCAGAATGAGCTGAGAGATGAGCTCATGCAACTGGTTTTGTGTTGATCTTGCTGACATGGGAATTGAATGGTTTTGTGTGGTATAGGCTGCTTGACCCAAGTTACATTCATCTGCTGCTGATAGTCCATATGTCGGGAAATCTTTTTTATACTAAAGTTGCTTGTGAATATAGTGCTATATGTGCATCAGGCATCATTTGTACCCGCCAGCTGAATACTGCTTATGTAGGGGTTGGCGGTAACTGTGTTCCTAATTAATGAATCCAGTAACAGTTGGAAATTGGGGTGGTTCTTTTATTTTGAGATGCACAATAGTCACTTATCAGTGTAATCAACAAAAAAAGAAATTTTGTTACAAGTGTTAAGTTTGAAAGAAATGAAACACATTTGCTGTAGAAGAAATTGCTACCCAAAAATAATGCTCATTAGCACAACCCAGTGCAGACGGACTGACAACTTTCTGTTGGCAGCAGTGAGCATCAGGAGAAAACCAACAATGAGTGCAGGGCCAGTGGAGGGTGGAGCCATACAGAAGTAGAGTAGGACAGGAAAAATTTTAAATTGTGTGTATGTGTGTGTTTGTTTTATGCAGGAGATTTGGGTGTTTGGCTTCCCACCCCATTTTCCTATTTCTCTGTGCTCTGCAGGGCTTCCATGGAGTGTATAGTACAGTATGTTGTAAGGTTCCAAATCCAACATCAATTGCAGTGTTTTTGAGTATCTAGAAAAAGCCCAATATCCTAAGTGAGTGTAATCCCATCTCGGTGTGAAGCTTCAGGGTGCATATGGAGCTTCAACTTCGCCAATACCCACAATCAAAGTAGAAAGTAGAGCATCCATTGCTATACTGCTGTAACTGTTCACTCAGTCTAACCCCCCCACTCCTGCAAAACAGAGACTGACCTGATAAAACATCAGAGTGGTGTGTGTATGTGTGTGTGTAGTAATATGTATTTCAGTGTGTGCTTATGTCTGTGTATACACGTCTGTCTGTGTGAGTGTTTGCTTGTGCATCCATGTGTATGCGTTTCTGCGCCTGTCACTGCATGTTTGCCTGTCTGTTTTTTGTTTTTGAGTGTGTTGTGCATGTGTGCAGATATATATTCTGAACCATTCACTTTTTGAGGTCAAAATGTGGCTACCAGCTGCCATAAAACGAAGACAGCAGCTGGAAAACAAGAGGGCGGGTGGAGGTGCACTGGGACAGCTGCCATGTTTCCGAGTCGGCCTCTATTTTAGTGGAGAAGCCCTCTCTGGCTGCTCTGATGAAAGGACAGGTGGAGAGGACATGAGAAAGGGAGGAGAGAGAGATTCAGGGATGAAAGAAGAGGAAGAGAAGGAGGTGACAGAGACGGACAGACGACAGAAGGATGCCACCAACAGCAACTAGCGGCTGAGTGGTGGAGTGGTGGAACGGGAAAGTTGAAGCTGGAAGATGTTTCGGTGAAAGTCTGCCAGTCGGACTGGTGAGGATGGACTGCATCTGTATCCTCACTACCAAGGTGAGACACAGGAAGAGGGTTAGAGTAGAGTAGAGGAGAATGGCAGAGAAGACAAACAGATCAGGGTGTGACAGTGTACAGCCTCAGATCAAATTTAGCTAAATTGTCATGGTTTTGTGATCATTGTACCTCGCGATGGCATTCATTCATTCATTACAGCCATCACTTTAATTTTTATGTTGAAGTTGTGTGTGTATTGTGTGCTAAGCTTTTAATGTGCCAAATGTCCTCACATGATCTTTTTCATTGTAAAGACCTGCAGTCCTTTTGGGGATTCCACTTAGCAAATCCAACTGAAGCATTCCACAATAAACTACATGCTTAGTAGATGATGGGAAACTATATGCACCTAGTCAGAATTAGCCATATCAAATTGTTGACAGGTTGCTTATTACACAGATGGGGCGCTGTACTTTGTGTGAATGAACAGGCTATAAGGTGATATCTTGTGCTCTAGTGAAGCGACTCTAATGGGAATGCCAAGCTGTTGGTCTGACAACATGTGACACCCAGAGAGACAAGAAACTGGGTTGGTAGGACACACACTTCAAAAGACTAGCTATCTGACTGGCTGGCTGTCTGTGTAGATATCTGACTGATTGACTGACTGGCTGAATGGTCTCAAGGCAGGAGAGAATACTTGGCTTATGAAGGCTGCAAAATTAAACACATACATTATGCACACATGTGCATGCCTAGAAATGCATGGCCCATTTAAAAGCAGCATAAACAGTGTGAGCTGGGATAAGCTCCAGCGCCCCACGACCCTGCATAATATAAGTTTAAACAATGGATGGATGGAGAATTATATCATAAAGGTGCTTTCATTAGAACATAACTGCAAATATTATGAGGTGTAAAGGCCAGGGAATGCATGGAGCGAACTTTTTTGTACAGCGTGTCTTCTGACCTCATCTAAAGGCAAAGGTATTCAGAAATGTTCTAAATGGCCACAGTTGAAAGGAGGGTGAAAAGCCTTCTGTCATGGCATAATCGCTCAAATAAAGATAGCAGAGCACACTTTAGGACAATCTCTCCTCAAAGACAATGATGGTATTGCATTACTGTAGTTTGTACAACATGATGATACAACGTGATGGAACTAGTTATGTGACCTGAGAGAGCCTGAGAGAAAAGTTCAAATCCTGCATTCTGTACTTTGTCACCTTTACACACATAACACACATAAAGGCTGTGTAAAGTGGACATGCTTATCAGAATGTTGGGTTCTGAAAGTTACAGAAATTGTTGGACGCACTCTGCAAAATTCTGACATCAGAAAGACATGGGCGGAGGGGGTTTCTGAAACTATTTGACGGCCTTACAGACACTTAAACAAAACCAACTAAAGGATATAGTAATGTGAGTGAGAGTGAGAGGGATGCCACTGATACAGATCTTCACTGTAAATTTTGTTATTCTGTCATTAGATTTGCCTTGTGTCTTCCACTTTTCACTACATTTCACATACTTTGTTCTTCCATAATGCTTACTAGACCACACCACCTGATCCTGCACATTCAAACAACAGTTGTTTGTCCTGATTCTTGTGGTTATATTATACATAGTTAACAAAATAAAAAAACATTAAATGTGGGGTTAAATCCTATTTCAAGCTTGGTCTTGTGACATAGCTCAATTTTTGGCACTCTGATTCAGAATCAGTCTTGATGGCGCTTATTCGTGGACTTGTCTTGGTTTCTGCTTAGGTATTTATGCCACATTATCTGCCTAAAAGTCAAACGCTTCTAGGTGACTTATAGGTCACCCTCCCTCCTTATTAAGAAGCACTGTCTGCAGCCATCATGACTTTGCTTATTAGCTATTAGGAGCACAACCTTCTGTCATGCTGGCAAACACAGGGATTGTGAATTGAGACTGGACAGAGAATCAAACTCTCAGTAGCGCACAGACATACACACTCACAAATAAGTCTGCAGTCTGTTGGCAGATAGTCTAAGAAGATTCCGTCTCACAGTCATCTGGTTAATCTCGTTTATCTCATTAAGATAATAGATAAAAAAAACAGAGGGTGTTCCCTGAGCTCAAGACCGCTAGATTACTGCTCGAGGCTGTTTCATTCTTTCTTATCCAGATTCTTCTTCCCATTACCCCCATCTGACCCTCTTTAATTCTTTTACCATTTTCATACTAGGTAAACAGAAAAATGCATAAATAAAGAGAGGTTTTAATATCCAGGCCTGAATGCACTAATTAACGGAACATCTAATAATCTAAAATATACTTTTACATTAATAGTAACAACGATTCAATGTGTTTCCAGTGCTGACATATGAACAACGATACAATTACATTCAACCTGAAAGTGCAGGCCAATCCAATAGGTTGCAAGCACCTCTAATCCAGACATAAATATCAAATCTAAATCTTGCAGCACCTTACTCATGGATGTGTTTACTAAAATCCTTCAAATAATGGATACTCAGTTTTCAAACATGTATATTCAGTAGTATCTATGCGTGTCGAGATTGTTGTCAAACATATAGTACGGTGATTTTACTTTCAATCAACATTCTCTTCTCTGTTTTTCCCATTCCTCTTTTAAAATCCACTTTTAAATCCCACCCTGGTTTTATC